ACCTGACATGAGTACTCCTCAACACTCCGAGGTACGTAGCGAACGAGTTGCTTCAAAATTCCCGTGCCGACAGGTGACAGGCAGCAATGGCCCACCTCAAATTGTTCTACCAGTTATCTCAGAACCTCATACTTGACTTGGTTAAATTTCGTGTTGCATGTTGTTCACTTGGGCCCAGTCGCATATCACGAACACTCTCACAGTTTGTCAAGTCCGTACCATTCCACGGCTCCCTAGCGTCGTCCGCAAATGATCGACTGTCGTGGAGAGGCTCACATTTATATTCATGTCGTCGATTTCAGTGAGAAATAGGATCGCACAAAGCAACGTTCCCTGCGGCACTCCACTTTTCACCCTCGCCTTGCTTGATCTCGAGCCTTCCACATCAAAAGCTTGTAATCATTCGGTTAGGAAATGCGAGTCGACAATAACTCTCCGTCGAAGATGTGTATAAGAGACAGGTTNCGTTAATTTGCTCAGAGCTGGCAGCTGTGAAGCCTGACGCAAATTCATCAGTTGAAACAGCAGAGGCATGTGCAACAGCTGATGCAGATGCTGCAACTGGCGCAGGTGTATCAGTTGCTGCAACGGACGCCTCTGTAACAGCTGCAACAGCTGACGCATCTGCAACAGTTGTAGCGCCTGACACAGCAGTAGCAGCTGCGTTACAGCGACTGTACAAGACTGTCAGCAGACTGGAGGAGACAGTCTACGCTGCCGCCGCACGCGACAAGGTAAGCTGTTAACTGCCTGCACTAATCACCTATAGTTGCGTACTGGTAATATCTATACTATTACCGTCATGTAATGCGGCCTAACTATCCACACTAATTACCAGTTGGCCGGTAACCTTCAACCAACAACACCAATTGCCAATTGTCACGCTTATTAAATCAATAAGTAAGTCTAGTTGCCAGTTCATTTATGATAATAATTGGAAGAGCGATAAAGTTTGTATAGGTGAACGTGTTCATGAACAGACAGATAATTAAGTGATGAATTGTATTGAGAGTTACTGTTTATTGCCAGGAGAGCTACATGCGGCAACTGGCAGCTAGATTGGCAACAGTTTACTGTCAACTGCAGTACAGTCCACGTTTCCCGTCAACGGAATTGGATAAACATGGATGATAACGGCAACTCGTGGCGATAAAACCGTGACGGCAACTACCTGTCAACAACATGTGGCAACATAACAAGAACCTTTGACCAGGGCGTCCCAAAGACCTTGGGATTCCCTCAGGTTACGAGTGTCTGAGGGTAGTTTTGGTCACCACCCACGGCCACGCCGGTCCATCGCCCTCGATGCTTGCCATGCGCCGCCCGACAAGCGTTACTCAGGGGGAAAAAATAGCTTCTACAGAGGCTCGAAAAGACGGATAATTCTTCTCATTTCGGTGCCGCTATCACTGCGCTACAGTGGGCTAGTGGCTATATACGTCAGTGAACCTAAAACTACAACAACCAACCAATACGCGCCCCGAGTGACTGCACATGGCAGTCGGGGTGTGTGCTCGGGTATACAAATAACACACTCGTAACACTTCAATACAAGAAAATACATTTCTGTATAAACTCGGTATGAGTACATCACTGCATATCATTTCTGAAATAAATTTGTTCGTAGGTACCAAGCTGTAAAAACCCGTTGTTTTGGATTAAACTATATATTTTGTAGGTATAATCTCTGTGTGTGTGTGTATATAGCAATGTAGAACATACGTGCCTGCGCGTGGCAACTCTCAATAAAATATGTCTACATTAGTCTCGCGGTTTCTATCCCACTGAATGACACAGTTTTAAATAGTGGGTCACGAGGAATAGTCCTGGACGGTACATCCGGGACCCGAGGGCGGGGTGGCCTGCCTAGCGACGACTCGGAGACGGAGGACGACGAAGGCGGAGCATCAGCTTGACCTGGGACTAAGTCCTAAACTCATCATCTAACTGGGACTAACTCATCAAACTAAACTCATCATAAACTGGGACTAAGTCCTAAACTCATCATAAGGTCATAAGGACGGTGCAGCGGCAGCAACACAGTAGGTAACCACTTCGGAGGGGACGGGGTTGGCAGAACTGCATTTTTCGTCGTCACGTAACATCAGAGAGCGGATACAAGAAAACTGGCATTTTTACCAAAAGTCTGTACTGTGTGAGTAGAAATTTTTTTTGGCGCTTGTTGAAAAAGAGGTTGGAGGAGGCAGATAACCTGTCCCACTCGGACCCACTTCCACTCAGTGAGTAAAGATTTCAAGTACAGTCCTTAGAGAACATGAATGAATCCTCTGTGTTTTAGGTATACAGCTTCCCATCGTAATCCTTGTTTTTGAAAATACCCCACTAGACATCAGACGTAGTAGGTAATGACGTTGATTAAAAGTTTTGACGAGATAAACTCGCAATCAACATAGCTTAAACGTCTCTGTTTAGTAGACTTGTCTGGAACCTGACGCTAAATGTATGGTAGCATTGTACCGATATTCTGTATACCAATTACCGTGACATGCATTCAGATACCGTCTGTGAACGCGGTACATGAGATCAGAGGTGGGCAGTAGCGCGCTACATGTAGCGGCCGCTACAGTAGCGGCAGCGGCGCTACATTTAACCAATTGTAGCGGTAGCGGTAGCGCCCGCTACATTTAGAGCATGTAGCGGTAGCGGCCGCTACATTTCAAAGTAACGCTGCGTAGCTCTGCCTGAGACACACTTGTTATACGCAGCCAAGACTTCGCTGTCAATACATCGTATCAGCACCTTCATGAGATTGCACAGCCACAATAAACTTTTGATAGCACAAATTTGTTGCTTACAACTTGCAGTGACCGCTACTGCCTCATGGCTTCACCCAGCATTGCTCAGCGATATCAATACGACGTATGAAGGAGCAAATGATCAATATATAAAAAAGACTAGCGTCAACTCAGAGAGGAAAGTATCGGAGTATATATGCAGCACAGAAGGAATATATCTGTGACAGTAATTATGTAGAGTACAGCTAGGCTCGGTATAGCGTGCGGTCATTATATAATTACGGCGTAATGGTGAAGCCAATTAAGAAGGTGATAGCTTTGGGCTATAGAGTAGCGGAGTATATATGCAGCACAGAAGGAATATAATTTACAGTAATTATATAGAGTACAGCTAGGCTCGGTATAGCGTGCGGTCATTATATAATTACGGCGTAATGGTGAAGCCAATTAAGAAGGTGATAGCTTTGGACCATAGAGTAGCGGAGTATATATGCAGCACAGAAGGAATANACAGATACAATATCGGATTATACGGGACAATAAGACATCGGATTATACGGGACAAGAAAATATCGGATTATACGGGACAAGAAAATATCGGATTATACGGGACAAGAAGATATCGGATTATACGAGACAATAAGATATGCCGTATAATATAGCAGGCAGGCTGGTGATGTGCAGCTCACTGGACGTTACCAGGGAGCTAGTATGGCGGCTGTATCACGGATACCGAGGTGAGGTGCCACGGCGCTCATTGTACAATGTGGGTCATTTGGACACGGTTACCATGACATGACAGGTTACCATGACATGACAGGTTACCATGACACGACAGGTTACCATGACATGACAGGTTACCATGACATGACAGGTTACCATGACATGACAGGTTACCATGACATGACAGGTTACCATGACATGACAGGTTACCATGACATGACAGGTTACCATGACATGACAGGTTACCATGACATGACAGGTTACCATGACATGACAGGTTACCATGACATGACAGGTTACCATGACATGACAGGTTACCATGACATGACAGGTTACCATGACATGACAGGTTACCATGACATGACAGGTTACCATGACATGACAGGTTACCATGACATGACAGGTTACCATGACATGACAGGTTACCATGACATGACAGGTTACCATGACATGACAGGTTACCATGACATGACAGGTTACCATGACATGACAGGTTACCATGACATGACAGGTTACCATGACATGACAGGTTACCATGACATGACAGGTTACCATGACATGACAGGTTACCATGACATGACAGGTTACCATGACATGACAGGTTACCATGACATGACAGGTTACCATGACATGACAGGTTACCATGACATGACAGGTTACCATGACATGACAGGTTACCATGACATGACAGGTTACCATGACATGACAGGTTACCATGACATGACAGGTTACCATGACATGACAGGTTACCATGACATGACAGGTTACCATGACATGACAGGTTACCATGACATGACAGGTTACCATGACATGACAGGTTACCATGACATGACAGGTTACCATGACATGACAGGTTACCATGACATGACAGGTTACCATGACATGACAGGTTACCATGACATGACAGGTTACCATGACATGACAGGTTACCATGACATGACAGGTTACCATGACATGACAGGTTACCATGACATGACAGGNAGATGTGTATAAGAGACAGGTGCATATCAGTAAAAGTTGACGTTAAGAAGACCGCCTGAAATTAAAACAGTAAAAAATATAACTCAGTACTCACTGCAGTGAGTGACAGAGAGCGCATTTTCTCGTCGACGAAAACTTGAGGTCACGGACAGACGGACGGACAGACGGACATGGCGAGCACAATAGTACATTTTTTCAATAAATGAGAAAATGCGCTAAAAATGTTAAAATAATAATGACAAAAGAGAAAATAACGAAATCGAATATAGATCTGTGGTAAACTTATGGTTGTTTGTGGGATGGTTGCTCACAAGAGATCGAGAGCGGGACTGCTTTACGTGTTGGTGATGATATAATTTTGGTGGTTGTGGTGGTGTTGATGCTTGTGGTGGTAGTTGTAGTGGTGACACCGTAGTGGTGGTAGTGTTGTTGATGCTTGTGGTGGTGGTGGTGATTAGACAAGACAGTAAGCAAGGAGACAGCAGGGTGGTGACACCAGAGTGTGGTGGTAGTCATAACGCGATGGTTGCAGGTACTCACGCGTGTGCCTCCTGGTCTGCTGGTAGTGTAGTGGTGTCACCACGGCTCCCCCGTCCAGGCCACAGCGCCTCACCAACCTGAGCAATGGTGAGAGTTGTGCATGAGCTCCAGTGTAGTGAAATATGGTGCACTAGCGCACAAACTACCAAGTCCTAAGCGTTGTGATATGCACTTTAAGTATTACATATTGTATCAAGTCCTTGGCGCTGTGATATGCACTATAAGTATTACTTATTCTATCAAGTCCTTAGCGCTGTGATATGCACTACAAGTATTACTTATTCTAGCAAGTTCTCAGTGTTGTGATATGCACTATAAGTATTACTTATTCTAGCAAGTTCTCAGTGTTGTGATATGCACTACAAGTATTACTTATTCTAGCAAGTTCTCAGTGTTGTGATATGCACTACAAGTATTACTTATTCTAGCAAGTTCTCAGTGTTGTGATGTGCACTACAAGTATTACTTATTCTATCAAGTTCTCAGTGTTGTGATATGCACTATGTTTCCTCGAACGACAATATAGCGGGCGCTTCTCTAGTGGGCGCTCGATAGAGATAAACAAAACTAAGTGTCGGTTTCGGAAATGTTGTCTAGTCAAAAAATGAAACAATAAGGAGGTAAGAGGAAAGGAAAAATGCTAAAATAATAATGACAAAAGAGAAAATAACGAAATCGAACATAGATCTGTGATAAACTTATGCTTGTTTGGGGGAACGGATGCTCACAAGAGATCGAGAGCGGGACTGCATTACGTGTTGGTGGTGATATGACTTTGGTGGTTGTGGTGGTGTTGGTGGTGGTGGTGATGTTGTTGATGTTTGTGGTGGTGGTGGTGGTGATGTTGTTGATGTTTGTGGTGGTGTTATTGATGCTTGTGGTGGTGGTGGTGGTGTTGTTGATGCTTGTGGTGGTGGTGGTGGTGATTAAACAAGACAGTGAGTGAAGAGACAGCAGGGTGGTGACACCAGTGTGTGGTGGTAGTCATAACGCTATGGTGGTACTCACGCGTGTGCCTCCTGGTCTGCTGGTAGTGTGGTGGTGTCACCACGGCTCCCTCGGCCAGGCCACAGCGCCTCACCAACCTGAGATATGGTGACAGTTGTGCATNCCCTAGGACTAAGTTGTTCATAACTAGTCCTGTTTATTTCGATATAATGTTAGGTCTTGTTTAGGTTTTATGTCTGTCTTTGAATTTTGACTTTTAAAGTGATTTTATTCATTTTTAGTTTAGTCGAACTGATGATGGAGCTGGACTCCGAAACGTTTTCAATATCGATATGGTGAATTTTCTTGGCGTTTTCTTTGCTTTTAAATTCCTTGTGAACTTGCGATATAAGCAGACTAATGATATAAGTACTTATAAGGCCTCACTGCAGCTTATAAAGCACACTGCACCATGTACCACCTGCATAGCAAAATTAATGTATTTATATTTAATGTTTTGCAGAGTTTGGTGTCTGAGCGGTGCCAGCAACAACAAGGATATTAGCAGCAACAGCAATAGCAGCAGTGCCCACAGCGACATCTGCAACAATAGCAACGTTAACTGCAGAAACTGCGGCAACAATAAAAACAGCACTGAGCATTGCAGCTGCAACTACCAGGAAATTTCAACTAAAATGCCATGCGATGATACGAGAACAACCTGCCAAGCAGCTGTAACCACTATAACCACAACTTCTGCAGTATCTACAGATGTATCAGCTGCGTTAATTTGCTCAGAGCTGGCAGCTGTGAAGCCTGACGCAAATTCATCAGCTGTAAGAGCCGACGCATGTGCAAAGGCTGATGCAGATGCTGCAACTGACGCTGGTGAATCACTTACTGCAACGGACGCCTCTGTAACAGCTGCAACAGCTGACGCCTCTGTAACATCTGTNCTCGGTATGAGTACATCACTGCATATCATTTCTGAAATAAATTTGTTCGTAGGTACCAAGCTGTAAAAACCCGTTGTTTTGGATTAAACTGTATATATGTTGTAAAATATCCGTGTGTATATCGCAATGTAAAACATACGTGCCTGCGCGTGGCAACTCTCAATAAAATATGTCTACATTAGTCTCGCGGTTTCTATCCCACTGAATGACACAGTTTTAAATAGTGGGTCACGAGGAATAGTCCTGGACGGTACATCCGGGACCCGAGGGCGGGGTGGCCTGCCTAGCGACGACTCGGAGACGCAGGATGACGAAGGCGGCGCATCAGCGTGACCGTGAACTACGACGTCCTAAACTCATCATAAGGTCATAAGGACGGTGCAGCGGCAGCAACACAGTAGGTAACCACTTCGGAGGGGACGGGGTTGGCAGAACTGCATTTTTCGTCGTCACGTAACATCAGAGAGCGGATACAAGAAAACTGGCATTTTTACCAAAAGTCTGTACTGTGTGAGTAGAAATTTTTTTTGGCGCTTGTTGAAAAAGAGGTTGGAGGAGGCAGATAACCTGTCCCACTCGGACCCACTTCCACTCAGTGAGTAAAGATTTCAAGTACAGTCCTTAGAGAACATGAATGAATCCTCTGTGTTTTAGGTATACAGCTTCCCATCGTAATCCTTGTTTTTGAAAATACCCCACTAGACATCAGACGTAGTAGGTAATGACGTTGATTAAAAGTTTTGACGAGATAAACTCGCAATCAACATAGCTTAAACGTCTCTGTTTAGTAGACTTGTCTGGAACCTGACGCTAAATGTATGGTAGCATTGTACCGATATTCTGTATACCAATTACCGTGACATGCATTCAGATACCGTCTGTGAACGCGGTACATGAGATCAGAGGTGGGCAGTAGCGCGCTACATGTAGCGGCCGCTACAGTAGCGGCAGCGGCGCTACATTTAACCAATTGTAGCGGTAGCGGTAGCGCCCGCTACATTTAGAGCATGTAGCGGTAGCGGCCGCTACATTTCAAAGTAACGCTGCGTAGCTCTGCCTGAGACACACTTGTTATACGCAGCCAAGACTTCGCTGTCTATACATCGTATCAGCACCTTCATGAGATTGCACAGCCACAATAAACTTTTGATAGTACAAATTTGTTGCTTACAACTTGCAGTGACCGCTACTGCCTCACGGCTTCACCCAGCATTGCTCAGCGATATCAATACGACGTATGAAGGAGCAAATGATCAATATATAAAAAAGACTAGCGTCAACTCAGAGAGGAAAGTATCGGAGTATATATGCAGCACAGAAGGAATATATCTGTGACAGTAATTATGTAGAGTACAGCTAGGCTCGGTATAGCGTGCGGTCATTATATAATTACGGCGTAATGGTGAAGCCAATTAAGAAGGTGATAGCTTTGGTCTCTTGGCACACGTTTCTTAGATCTGCCCACTCTTGTCAACTCTTGGCACACGTTACTTAGATCTGCCCACTCTTGTCAACTCTTGGCACACGTTACTGAGATCTGCCCACTCTTGTCACCTCTTGGCACACGTTATTTAGATCTATCCACTCTTGTCACCTCTTGGCACACGTAACTTAGATCTGCCCACTCTTGTCAACTCTTGGCACACATTACTTAGATCTGTCCACTCTTGTCACCTCTTGGCACACATTTTCATTTGCCCACTCTTGTCACCTCTTGGCACACGTTACTTATATCTGTCCACTCTTGTCACCTCTTGGCATACGTTACTTAGATCCTGTCTCTTATACACATCTAGATGTGTATAAGAGACAGNTTGACCAGCTGAGCCACTCAGTGCCCCACCCACCTTGACCAGCTGAGCCACTCAGTGCCCCACCCACCTTGACCAGCTGAGCCACTCAGTGTCCCACCCACCTTGACCAGCTGAGCCACTCAGCACCCCACCCACCTTGACCAGCTGAGCCACTCAGTGTCCCACCCACCTTGACCAGCTGAGCCACTCAGTGCCTCACCCACCTTGACCAGCTGAGCCAGCGAGCGGTCTACTCGCGGGAGGTCGTCCCTGACCACCTCCATGGAGGTGTAAGGCTTGGAGCCATCGGAGCGGGTCTGGAGGCTGCTCAGAGGAAGACTTGTGTCTGTTTTGGTGGTCATCTGCTGTGCCGCCTGCAGCAGCTCTGTCAGGCTGCGCTCAGTTGCCATCTTCACTAAAACTTTATTTATTCAAAAGAAAAAAAATTCTGTTTTGTAGTTTAGTATTTTGCTATTAGAGATAACAGAAATTTATCATTAACTCATAAGTTTGGTAAAAAATAGTTTTCCCATCTAGCATAGTAAAATTGTACCAAATGAGCTATTGAAAAACTCTGGAAAAAATATATAGGTAAGGTAGTTACCAAGCAATCATTAAAGTAGTTATGCAATTTCTATTAATTGCTATAAATAATTCTATGAAATGTTGACAAGATTTGAAAGAAACAGTTCAAGCATATCAATATGATCAATACCAAGTGTGAGTTGACCAAAATTTTGGTGAATAAGAAAAGCAATTTAGTAACAAATTAATATCATCTTCATTCCTATCAGGAAACATCAAAATTGACCTTTAAAAATATATTCTCAAAATATTTTTCTTAATAATGTAATAATGTGTAAACAGTCATTTTATGTATTTTGTAAGGAGCTACGGTAGGTATATAGAATAGTATGTGAGATCATCTTACAGGTAGAATTGTAATATGTGTGGTTAGATGAGACAGCTGTTAAGTCATACCAGAGATGACATGTATAAATATAATGTTTTTTCTTCTGTTAGTCAGGATATTCTACAGAAAACACCACCATCCTTGGCAATGTGGAATTCTACATTGTTCCAGAGTAGTGGTTCAAAAAATCCCCTAAGTATTTTCAAAAAGATCACCTGAATTGAATATATAGTCTAGTTTCAGGTTTTTGGGTACAATTTAACTTATGTACATTATATTGAATGATTCCCATATAGAATTCCACCCTGCTGAACATATCAAAAAAATTCATCTAAAGATTGCAGATAAAAACTGCAACAATGTGAAAACTGCAACAATAAAATGATTATGGGTATAAAAATTTTGAGAACAAGCTGGTACCAAACAGCAGAATTTCAAATTTAGTTGCCATAACATTTTCATCTGTCAAAGTTTCCAGTTGAACCAAAATAGATAACTTTGGAACATTGATATTCCAAATTTATTGAATATACTCAATTGAACTTGTCTTGCACGTTAGTAAAAAGTAGAAGTCTTCCAGCATTGGTTTAGAGTCTAGACTCAAGTCACTTTAATACCAAGTTCAAGTTTGATTTTGTTTATAAAAAAATTATTTTGATTGGAAGCTGGCAAGATAAGATGCTGCCATCATAAAGTATGACTGGAAAGAAAGAATGATGTATGTTGGGCATGTAAGATGTACCTGTGGAAATTGAGAGTGAGGAAATGGGAACGTAAGTGTTATGCAATTGTATGAATGTGTGAGTTACATGAAACATGGGCTCACCCTGGAAATGATGGATCAAGAGAGGAATGGATGATAACAGTACAAGGTGCAACAGGGATCAAATGGGATCTCAAAGATTGGAAGGAATAAATAGAAAAGAGAGTGAAATCATGTGCTTTAAGAATTTGGAAGCAATAATGGAAAGATAGGACAGCCTGAGATTGTACAAGATGAAAGAGATGCCAAAGTATGAGTAAATTTATGACTGAAGTCGAGGCAGAGACCTAATGTCTTGAGTGAAAGCAAATGCTTTGAGTGCGAATGCACAGACATACAGGTGGAATGAGAGAAGAGAGGATTTTGTTTTATGTGTGACAGAGGAGAGAGGGAAACTGTGGAGCATCTGATAATGGAGTGTGATGCATATGAGAGAGAGACTGGAAACAATAAGAGTAATACTGGATGAGAGGGATGAAGATGATGGTGTGATGCATGAGCAAATGGGAGACAAATGGATTGCAATGATAGTGGGCCTGCTAATGGCAGTGACTGTTGCTATGACTGAGTGGAAAGTAATTTTTGGGGAGTGCATGGAGAATGAGGGAGAGGAAGAGGTTGGCAAGAATGGAGATTGGGGGTGTAAGAAAAAAAAAACAATAATAAAATAAGAATAACTATATCAATAAGATTTTAATAAAACACAAATAGTCATTCAGGGCCTAGGAGGTCTCATATGTGGCTAATATAGATGTAAACTATACACCGCAATAACTGGGATATACCGTCAATCGGGGCTACTCGGGACGAGCGAGGTAATTCGGAACAGTCCACCGACGCAACGTAAAACTGTTTTAGTAGCAAAACTTACTGGAATATTGCAAAACTTAATATAGTGGCGTAAACATCAACATTTTTCTTATCTATGTAGTATAAAGGAAGTTAAAAAATACTACATTTACTAGCTTTGAAAAATTCCTGAAAAAATTGGTGAAAAACGATATTTTGAAAAGTTACTTCTGCTAAGGTCTGTAGTAAAAGAATATTTGCCGTATTAAAAAATTTCGCTTAGAAAAAAGTGGCAGACAAGTGTCAGCATGAAAACTTTATTTGCGGAATTTACATACCTCAATCCAAAAAAAATTGCGGCCATTTCCGCATGGCGGGGCTACTCGGGACACCCCCCGGGGCTATTCGGGACACCCCCAAAAACACATTTACAGTAGAACCTCAGTTAGCAAAGGCTCCAGTTAAGAAAAAAATTGATTAAACACAAAGAATGTTTATTACATTTACCTTGCTCAGCAAAAAAATTTCACTTATCGAAAAATTAGTGCATCATCAGTCATCACAAAATTGTGCATAGAATGTCATTTATAGAATTGTGCACCAGGCATCATAGAATGAAAAGTAATTGACCTAAACTATTATTTATTTCTCCAAAACATAGGTATGATGGTTGTCACTTGTCACTAAAACATTCAGGTATATTCTAAAACATTCAGGCCTGCCAAAAGATATAGGAAAAATTCTATATTTTCTGGAATATCACAATTTCAATAACACATAATTTTTTTGCATGAAGTCTTGCAGCTCCAATTTTTTCTTTTTTTACTGTAGAACATCACAGGTTCTGAATATGATATTCCTTAAATATTAGAAATTTCACAGTTCAGCAACACACCGCCATTGTAATATCCTGTGGACCTGTACACTAAGTACAATGATTGCACCCAAAGAGTTTTGTTGATAGTCTTGCAGTTGCAGTAATGTCTGTGCATTATAACCATAGTTCCTTTGAAAAAATTTAAAAACCAAGAGTAAATAAAAATCATGAGCCTAATAATTTATAATTGCCAATAAATTGAAGAATAATGTTCTCATCTTATTACAGGGTTAAAATTTGAGATTTGTCATCATGTCATGCAACATGGCTTAGCATTTAGCAAAATAGGGTAAACGCACCATATTCCGACACTGTGAGTAATTCTAACACTCCTCAACTTTTTCCTTTATATTAAGATTGGTCTTAGTTCCACGCATGCGTAGATGGTTGAATAGTGACGTCATACTATTGCGTGCAAGATTTCCACAAAACACTAGGTCTAGCAGGAAAATGTTAAGATCAGCAGAGCAAAAGTCCAAGTCAGCTAGAGAGAACATTGAAACGCGTATGAAAGTTGATAGTTGACCTTGCTTTACTAAATAGTGATAAACTGTTGTTTAGAAAGAATATTATGGTTTGAGACTTTAAAATAAGTCTGTCCACATATTAGGAAACTTTTAAGTATACTTCACAATAACTTGTATTTGCTGATTTTAAGTGGTAAAGAAATTAATAGATGATTGATTTAAGGGACGATTTTACATATAAAAACTAATTCCGATACTGTCAACACAGGGTGTTGGAATTACGACACACAAGGTGTCGTATTCCGACACATTACCATTTTGAAGCGCTGTCAGAATTAGTATCACAATAAGACAATATGCCACATTTAGTCACACACAGTGTCGGAATTCAGCAATTTTGTAGATTTGAATTCTAAAGGCTTTTAAATAAATATGGCAACAGTTTGTGAAATTTCATATTTCTGGCGCATAGTGTGGTGTTTTAAGAGTGACATAAACCAATCAGAACTCGAGTTGCGCATACGGTGACCTATTTATAGCCATTTATTTCTTGCTACGTCCTTGAGGTGTCGGAACTTGGAATATGATGTTTACCCTAGTCAGTAGATCAAAAATGGCTTTAGACAGCTTAGAAAACAGATTCACTATTAAAAAAATAGCTCTCCAGTCTCCGAAATTCAGGGCCTTTAAAATGATTTAAAGAGTGAAAAATGAACCTCAATAAAGAAAATTATGAATTTATAGCTCCAAAAATCCAGTTATGGCTACAAAATCAAAATGCACTTTTCCATGCTGGTTTGTACTCAAGACTCTAGACTCAGTGAATCAGGCCTAGAGTCTGCTAAAGGTGATTTTTCAGTTCATTTATATTCAATTTATTTATAGGCTAAGGCTATTAGGGTAAACGCAGTATATTCCGACATCGTGGGTAATTCCGTCAGGCGTCAGCTCTTTAGTTTTTCCTTTATATTAAGCTTTGTTTTAGTTCCATGTGTTTGTTGATGGTTGAAATGGTGACGTCATACATTTGTGTATCAAACTACTGCCAAAACACTAGGTCTTGGCCATCTAGCGAGAAAATATTGAGATCCAAAGTGAGACGATGCACGCTACCCAGTGAGATCATGGAAAAATGTGTCAAATTTGACAGTTGACTTGTGACGTTTCGTTGTTGCTGACACGTAGTGCGGTGTTTTGAGAGTCACATAAAGCAAACGGAACTTGAGTAACGCATATGGTTATTTTTTTATTGTTTTTCATTTCTCAATGCGTCCTTAATGTGACGGAATATACCGCGTTTACCCTAGCTAAAGATTTGTATTACAATTTTTTTTTTTCTCATAGAATATTGAATACCTATTCTACTTTATGAGGTTGAGGTAATATAAGTTATATCAGGCATTTTTGTCATAACTATTAACAAAAATAGAAGATAATTCATTGTGCAAAATATTGTATTCATATATGGAGGGAAAGATCAATATGCATAATGCAGCTAGCATAGAATTAGTTATTAGTAGCAGACTAGCAGTAGGTCCAAATGTCTAATCTATCATTATACCTTCTACCTTCGTAACCTTAAGGCTTGTAGAAGTTGTAGTCAAAATGCAGCGAAGTCTGAGAGGGAGGTTTTTGCGACCATCATGTAAAATCCTTGAGCTGCCCAAAGCTCGGCCAGTCGCTACCCTCGAGCTTGTACTCTTTGTAATATGATATCCTAGCGACCTAGCCAGACCCTTCTTTGCGGTAACTGGTCGCTTTCAGGTGGCCGAGGAATGGCCAACGGTCAGCTATAACTAATTGGATAGGCCGACCACTGGCCATGTATTATTCTTCGCCCCTCATTGACTTCGCCTTTACCATGCCACCCGTTGTGAACTGACAGTTGAGTAATTTACGACGTCTCTTTCCCCTCAAACATTGCACAACGTCTCCATTTGAGCAGCTAGTATAGTAGTAGGTATGCGGGATTTTCCCTCCGCGTATCGGTATCAGCAGACTCGATCATAAATATTTTTTGGTAGAAAATTTCTATAACAAGGAAGCTGATCAAGGAATGCCGAATATACCATTTAATTGACAATAAAAATTACAACCAGTTTATATCTTGAAAAAAGTGTAAAAGTCACAGACATGATGATGATGAACAATAATAGGTATTCAAAGTTTCTTGAAATTTCCTCTCATTAAAACTCTTTTAATACAACGTTTACATATTTTTTATTACTGGTCGACGCTTATAAATAAATAGCTGGGTAAGTATGGAAAAATTCAAATCGCCATCTCATTTGCAAGTGGAGTACCTAAAGTCTATCCTAATTAGTGAAGAAACGCTTAGGGAAGAGCCGAGCCTGTTCGAAGCCTCTCGGTTTTCAATCAGGGCCTTAAACTGCACTGACTCAGTGACTGCAGTTGCCAGTCTGCAGTGACAATTGACAAACAGAGGTGAAACCCATGATAGTTCAAAACTTCAAACTGCCATGACTGGAGCACTCAGGAGTCAGGACTAGGAGCAGGGGAGCAGCAAGTTGTGACTTGTGGCCCGTTGTGGGTTCTATCCCAGGCTCCCAGCTACCTGCAACTCAGGCTGCAAGGCTGCAACATTTTTACTTCTGCTCAAAATCTGTCATGGCCAGACTGAGCGAGTCTGAGCCATGCAGGCAGTTAACTGGTTAAGCACAGCAAAATTGGATTAGGAGTCGACGCGAGTCGTGAGTTGCGTATTCGAGACCGCAAACATGGCTGAAGCTGTAAATGTAAAATTTCAGCTATTTGAAGAACCTGCAAGGCTGTGATAGCCTAACTGACATAACGGTCTAATCAACGGCTTCAACGCTGACGCGGTGTCGCCGCTATTGTATTTATACAATTGATACAAATACAATCAATGAGTAGATTTATTACGGCCTGAAAGAATCCCACGTTCTTCTCAGATCTCACGTTTCACGTCTTCAACAAAATCTTGTAAATATTTTACTATGCAAATTGGCATGATCTACATTCTACAAGATCATTATTGAGATGTCAATAGAAAATGATTAGGCTTCAAACAATTGTCCACTTTATTTGGCAAATAAATAGAGCCATTTTTATTGTTTTTAAATTTTCGCGACGAATTCAAGCACTAAGGCTCAATACTTAACTGCACCGCGCAGGGCCCTGTTAGGAATACGGCAAAAAACTAATCTTACGTTTTGGACACTTACCTTTCTAGTAGAGCTGGCGTTCAAAAGCCAATTATTCCTCTGTAAAAACAAAAACTCATCCGTAATCCCAAATTTTTTCACCCTCACAGGTCATATATATGACATTTATAACATAACATAGTGATCTCGGCGCTCACGTGTAGGCCTGATGTGACCTGTCGCCGATTCTTTTCCTTTTCGTGCCTTATTCACAGAAGATCTAAAATCGTGTCATTTGACCGGATATTTTCATGACTGGCGATAGTTTGAAATAGCTACACGACTTCCACCGGGTTCGATATGGTGCTAGGCATTTCAAATCTGAAGGGTGGCCCAGTGGGTAAGGGCAGGGTGGCCCAGTGGTTAAAGTTCAGAGTACCAGGATTGGCGCGAAGAGGCGCGGGTTCGATCCCAGCTCTGTGCGCCAGTTTCTGGTCAGACTCGGCAAGGAGGCCGGGCGGTTAAGCAAAGCAGAATGGGAGCAGTGAGTTGCGAGTTGGAGACCGCAAAATGCTGCGAATATTCTGCGATGTTCAGAATCGGCGACAGGCCTTATAAAAGCTGAAACCGCTATTATTATCATTATATATTTTCCATAGCTTTATCTAGTCAGTTTTTGAACGCGTTCATACATGGAGCGCCAACGATGTCATCAGGGAGGCTGTTCCACATGTCGGTGATTCGGAGCGAGAAAAAATGTTGGCGCGTGGAGAAGTTGCAGCGCAGTTTTTTTAGTTTATAGCCGTGGCCCCTGGTGTAACACGTTACGATTTGGTAGTGGACGATGCGATATTGAACCTGAGGGTAGTTCGGTTGTAGCGGGATCCGAGGTTCTTATTTCAAATTCTAGTAATCCTTCGGGGACCTTGTATAAACCATAAGTATAGTTGTATACTTCAATGAGGTCCCCACGCAGACGTCGATAACTGAGGCTTGGAAGCTTAGTAAGCTTTAATCTTTCTTCATAGGACTTGCCCTTCAAGCCTGGAATTATCCTTGTTTTTTTAGGCGTGAAGCAGCAATTTCTGAGTGGCGCAATTTGCCGTAAAGCGTCATCCAAATCTCCTATTGTGTAACCGTTTTCTAAAAAGTTACGGCCACATATGTAGCTACGTACGCGTGTAGCGTTTACTAACAAAGTTACTCCTACGTTTTTAGGTAAATGCGAAGCGTTTTTTTAACAGAGGCTGCAACTTGTATGGGTTCCTGCGTAGCGCATTATGAAATAGTTACAGGTACTTGTGTAGCTACGTGTGTATCATGAAACTATCACTGCTACATGTGTTGCGTTTGATGTACCATAAGTCTCAAGGGGCTATCATAGCTAAACCTGGCCCGTGGTCTGTAGTATTCTGTCCCGAGGTCGGTGACACCGACGGTTCACCGATAGCGTTGCTGTTGGTGAACAGCACGAGTTCAATGATCACTCATTTTGACTGGCACAAAGTTGCCGTGATGAGTTACCATTAACTACTATTGCCAAAATACAAAAAGTGAATATTATATTTATGTTCTATATTTATAAGGCTGCTAAAACAATAAAAGCGTTGAAAATGAGAATAAAAAAACTTAGGGTATACATAATAGGCCTTTAATAAATGGTTTAAAAAAATGTATCTTCCCATACTTAACATTGAAAGCCCAGTAGTCTTCACAGGAGAAAGAAGCACACAGATTATATACAAGAAACCAATGACTCGTTTGAAAATATATGATAATAAAATTACCTAAATACAGGGTGATTCAGGGAAACTTACCGATTTGAAAACTCAATAAAAAAAATTAGTAAACATATCATTACAATATAATTTTATTGAAAAAAACAATACCTGAATTGTTGAATCACTTAGTTTTAAAGATGACATCGGACAAACGACAGCCCCCATTGTCAATGCATTCAGTTAGTCGATTTTCGAAGTTCCGTTCAACTCACTGAAGCATATTGATGGGCATGCCGGCGATGGCTTGGATGGCTGTTCTTCAAATGAGGTTAGGTCCTTGGACAGTTATTGTAAACAATTGACTTAAGATAACCCCATGAAGAAAATCACACGAAACCAAATCGAGGGATCGGGCCGGCAAAAGAAGATCACCTCGCAAGGAGATGAGGCGCTCTGCAAAAATGTTGTCTCAGACGGAGAAAACTCTACAAAATAGCCATTAGAAAAGTAAGGCTAGACAGCAAACGCACGCTGTTCACTTGTCCAATGCATAGTGGCAACTGACTAGGTGGGACACAAAACTTCACGACTTTGCCTTTCATATGAAATACTCCTCGCCCTTTTCCTACATTATCCGGCTGCCTGGCGCAAAAACAAGAAGTTTTTATAAAAAAAAACAAGAAGTTTCCGCGAATCACCCTGTATTAACACTTAATAGAGCATTGTAGCAGCAACAAACTATAGCTACCCGAAGCAACAAAACACTGCTACAAGCAGAGTTCATACACAGGATGAAATAATTATTCTAGCAGAGATGGGAATAGACTGTTATGTTCAAAGTTGAACAGCATTGTAGTTCATGTGGCTTAACTGACATTCCTCCGCACTGCGTAGCACTTATGCTACAAGATTCCATGAAATGTTTCCATTATATTCGATTATGTAAATGAATTTCACTAATTCATCAAAAGAATACAACGGATGCTACATACTTTATTCGATCATACACGATCCCAAATTATAGAGATCCAGTTTTTAACAATGTTTTACGTAGAACCTAATACTTAAGAATGATATTTTGTTTCTAAATTCACCTGCTGAAAAGCACTCGGGCGGCTTGAACAGATAATGACGACTTGAGACCAGAAATACAACAAAGCTCACGTGAGATTCACGTCAAAGACTCACGTTCATAGCTCACATGAGATAAGACTGTGTTCCACTTGGTCATAACTATTACTATAATTTCGACTTCTGGATTGTGAGTACCCCTACAATGATAGGTTCTTTGTAAAGTCTATGAAGGTAGGTGAAGAAGATTGCGTTGACATAGAGGGCAAAGTTTGTAGAGTTGACGTTACCGAAATTAAGTTAAGCTATTTGGTAGGAATAACACGGCTATCGGTGATTCATATCCCTCTTTTGCCATGCATGGTTCAATTACATGAATAAATAAGCTAAAAAACACAAGCCCTCGTCTTTATAAAGTAGAAACAAGTACAGTTGTGTCAGGAAGAACACGGCCCCACGAAAGGAAGTTAGAGGCCTCATGCGAAGATGTCAGCGGCCTCGCACAGACATATGTCAGCGGCCTCGCACAGACATGTGTCAGCGGCCTCGCACAGACATATGTCAGCGGCTCGCACAGACATATGTCCAGCGGCCTCGCACAGACATATGTCAGCGCCCTCGTACAGACATGGCAGCAGCCTTGCCCGATGGTGTCAGTGGCCTCTCACGGAAATGTCAGCGGCCTCCCGCAAAAACGTTGATGGCCTCACACTACACGGTAGTGATGCCAGGTACAAAATAAAGTCAGGCAAAGAAGTCGATGGCCTCATCGAGCTCTCTCTGCCTGGCCTGCTTGTGGGCCCACCTGGCCTCAACCAGGGCAGGACTAAGCTTCCACTTGTCGTGGTATATTTTGAGGCTGCAGCTGTGGCAGGTCTTGCCGCCAGCGAAGGGCGGCGTCTTGATGTACGTGTCCAGGCAGGCGTGGTGGTAGAAGTGACCGCAGTACACGCGCTCTACTGACAGCGGGTCGTCCTCAGAGCTGGGCACGTCCTGCTCGCAGGGGGGACAGCTTTAGATACGTGGGTACAGGTTAGATACGTGGGTACACGTGGGTACAGCTTTAGATACGTGGGTACAGCTTTAGATACGTGGGTAAACGTGGGTACAGCTTAAGATACGTGGGTACACGAGGGTACAGCTTTAGATACGTGGGCACACAGGTGGCTATCTCAAGGTAGATACGTGGGTACACGTGGGTATCTAAAGGTAGATACGTGGGTACACGTGGGTACAGCTTTAGATACGTGGGTACAGGTGGGTATCTCAAGGTAGATACGTGGGTACAGGTTTAGAACAAGAACAATGTACAGGGATGGGTACAGGTGAAGTACTACCGTACTACACATTTATAAAAATGTAGGCAGGTATTAAAACAGGCAAAAAAAGAGAAATCTATCGTGGTGCGGAAATGTAGATAAAGATTTTAATCATGAAACTTAATGAGGTGTTGAAAACTATTAATCTATTGAGGTTTAAATGAGAAACAGTTCCAGGGATGGATGCAGGTTAAAAACGAGAACTTTATGAAAATGGTATGATAATTTGTATGCATAATAATATATGGATTGGAATTTTAAAAAAAGTCTTCAACCTAAACGTCTGAAGAACATTTTTGTGAGAGAAATCGAATTCGAGAGAAACCAATTGATAGAAATCTGTAACTCAAACTAAAAGTTATTTTCAGACCGAAATATTCAGGAACATTTCCCGGTAACCTGAGGGTGGGGAGGCAGGCAAGTGCGGCAGCACACCCCACACACCGCTGCAGGGATGCTGTGCACGGCCTCCAGCAGGAACTTGACCACGGGCAGCAGTGAGGGCTTCACTACAAAGGGCGGCGCCCCTGGGCGACAGCGGGTGGGCGGCTCGACGCACTGCCTGGCGAGCTCCTGAGCCTGCGCCAGCAGCCACCGCCGCACCACAGGCGGGTAGCTGCTGGACACCTCCGTCAGGCTGGGGGTGTGGGGGTAGATGGTGGGGGTATCGTTGTGATGATTGGTAGATACGTACGTCATTGTGATGATTGGTGGGGGTTATCATAGTAATCATTGAGTTCTACGTCATAGTGATGGTGCGTCCTACGTCATAGTGATGGTGCGTTCTACATATTCTGAGCAGTATATTGTAGTGATGCATTAAATCATCTGTTCTACATCATCTGTGCAACATAGTATGATAATAAAACAGTTAATAAGTGTATACTTAAAATTGATTATCAACAAAAACTGTGTAACTCCTTAAAAAAGACAATATTACCACTGATGAACATTTCCACAACAGCATACAGATTGATAATCAATTTAATATAAAAGGAGATATCAAAAGTTCTGCCAACAAAGTTAAAAGTGCATCCTTAAAAAAAATGACATCAATGCGTGACAATTTTCTTCATTGCTGCCAGTGTCTCACACTCCCACAAATGAGAGCATCATTGTACGTAAAAGTGTGTTAATTTGGAGGACCCATACAATTTGAAAATGTGCTGGAGAAACTTCATCAATAATTAGACTAACGGCCCCTGATTCCTTTAAATGTTTGCTCCAAGTTACTGATAACCTGCTGCTTGATTCAGAACAATATAGCTCGACTTATTCACCTACTTTTATCATATTAATCATGCTACAACAAGCATGTTAAATCTTCATAAATATTATCTTTGATTTCTTTGGTCAAATTTCAATACAAAAACACTTTTTTAACACCTCCATTTATACAGAGTGTAACTATGTCATCTGTGGTTACAGTTCAGAGCACCAAGATTGGCGCAGAGAGGCGCGGGTTCGATCCCAGCTCTGTGCGCCAGTTTCTGGTCAGAATCGGCGAGGAGGCCGGGCGGTTAAGCACAGCAGAATTGTAGCAGTGAGTTGCGAGTTCGAGACCGCAAAATGCTGTGAATGTTCTGTGATGTTAAGAATCGGCGACAGGCCTACGGCCAAATAAACGCTGAAACCGCTATTATTATTATTATAATATTATTATACAACCAGTTACCTGCCATTATAGAGAACTTACCTGACTCTGGTGTCTGGGTAGTCTTCAGGCACAGTAATGTTGTACTTGCAGGAATATTCTCCCTCCATTGTTATGACCAAGATACTTGATGTTTTTTGCTTCAATTTTATTTCATCGGACGGTCTTGCTATTTTCTGCTTGAGCTCGGAGATTTCCTCAGAGCAGCAACACAAGGGGTTCTCATCAATGAAGTTTCGCACAAACTTCAGCACATGCAGGATCTGGAATGAAAACAAAAATCTTCACAAGGAACAATTGATTTACATTCAACATTATCATCAGTTTTTTTATGCTGACGGTGTATTTTTTATGCCAGGAGAGTAATTGGAATAAACAGATGGGAGTCAATACCTGAATTTGCTAATTTTACCTAAAATGTACCATCAACTATATGGAACTTTCCAATTAATACATTTCAGAACAAATTCAACCAATACATACAAACTGGGATGCAAATAAAGGATAAATATCAATTACGTGCCATTAGCTTGGGGGTTAAATTTGCACTCAAGTGTAATATTGGCCCAATACAATATATTTGCCCAAAATTAGAAAAAGTTTTGTTATGTGATCATGTTATGAGTCTGTTATCCAATATAGGTATATTTGCTCAAAAGTAAAAAAAAGTTTTCTGGTGCTGTCATGCAATAATGTGATGAGTGGTGCTAGCCAGTGGTACAGCCTATCTAGTGATGCCTTAACTCGGTCAGTAATTCATACCATGGAGAGTTTCTGATTAGTTGTAACTCCAGCTGTTGGTATAAATCAGAATAATGTAACCTGCTCAATTAGTAAATTATATAACCTCTAAAATTACTGCTATCATCTTCACATCTTATAATTTGTATTATTAGGGCAGAGCCCTTCATTTAAACATATTTGGTTAAAAATAATGCCGGTTTTATTGAGGACTTCTTTTGAGTTTAATCTCTCAAGCTTTTAACCAAACATCTTATAATGCACACCATAGATATGAAAACAAGTGCGAAGGCAGTCTACCAACACTAACGTGACACTAACTTGAGGTTTGCCTAAAATTTTTTTTGCCTCCTTTTCGGACAGGTTGGCAAGGCCATCGAGCAGCTTCTGAGAGATGTGTCGGCTCTTGAGCTCCACAAGGATGTTGGCGGCTGGATAGTTCTTGGGGAATTGAAGGCACACAATTAATTGCTTGAATTTAGTCCTCCTAGAAAGAAAAATATTTATTAAGAATTACCTCATCATTTACAGCTTTATTTGCTGTATACGGTATTCTATTGATATACAGGTATTTGGATTGGATGAATAACCATTTTATAACAAATATACAGTTCTAAATATAATTTAACTTGACAAACATTTTATGCCAAATAAATAACTCGTCCAAGTTCATGCTTTCGAGCCAACTCTCACAAAGAATAAGAATAACTGACCTGATATTTACACGCACCATGGCTGGAATGCAAGCTTCTAGTTTACTGCCAGTTATGTGCTTCTCTACCATGGCTTTAATCTCTTGCAGCTCATCTTCCACAAAACCCATTATTAAGATCTTTTGATTATTTACAACTGAAGTCACTTAACACTAATCATTTAATTCATAACTTGAAATTATTTTACAAGAATTCAAACAAACTCCAACACTGCATTTAAATATTCAATGAGACAACTGAATAATTCACATGCCTCAGCAATCTGAACAGCAGAAGAGGCGAGCTCATTTGAAAATAGTCGACTGTATAGTCGAGAGCCTGAAATTATGTACAAAACATAAACACTTTAGATGCATGTGGATTATTTTTATAATAAACTTAACACATATAAAGTATTTGACTTGCTTCTAAGCAAGTGTGATGTCTGTTTATTTCTTGTGCTACAACAGCTGCCATGGCCTTGAAATTTGCAACATTTTAAGAGCACTGTAGTATTTGCAATGATTACATAATTTATAAATATTTTTTATTTTATATATTTTCCTTTAATGCTCCTTATATTTTTCTTGTCAACAAAGAGTGTTTTTTAATTGTCAAAATAATTGAAAATTACTTAAATCTCTTACAGGCATGGCATCACTTAAAAATAAAAAGATTTTGGCTTTTCTGTTTTTAATTGATGGGAGGCATGACTTTTGTACCTACTGTAGTTAGTTTGCAGTCAGAGGTCACAATAGAACAATACTTTAAAACAGAAATCTGTAATTGACCTAGACTATTGAGTATGCTAAATTAAATTTTACATCACACTTTACACCTCAAGTCTAATGACAAGAATTTTTTTATCAATGTAGCATATCATCAGATGATAAAAACTTAAACTAAAACAATCTCTTTACATGATAAAAAATTTGACTCATAGTCCAGCCCCATCCCCCCCCCCAGCTGCATGAGCAGCTGTGGGAGGACAAAAAGGCACAAAAGGCTGTTCATTGAATAGCATAAAAATATCTAAACAAAATGACTTATCATCATTGTTTAATTAATCATTTAGTCATTGCTATCACAGTAAAATTTCTAATATATTTCAAATTACCAAAGATAGTAACTAGACCATGCCCTGTACTGTGCCTCACATAAATATCCTGATGCTTTGCAAAGGTCCATGGGCGGCACAGCCTGGAGCTTATTATTATTATTATTCTACAAAGCAGTTATCATTGCATCTGGTTCAAATGAACTTTGAGGGCACATTAAACATAAGTTTATCAGCAATCAAAAAATAAATAGACACAAGAAGGGATGAGAATGGATAAAAATGACTAAGCACTTGATTCATAGGCCTGACAAAATAGTTCCATCTTTAGCTACTGATAAAATACCTGCAACAAAGGAACTAATGATACAGAAGCTGGCAGACTTCCAGGTTATGGCAGCAGCAACAGGGAACACTCTGTTGCCAATGATAGATAGAGGTGTAGATGGAACAAAAAAAATTCCCTGAGATATCAATGCTTACCAGGATGAAGGAAGAACAAATCAATGCATCCAAGAACTACAGGGTGCGCCAGAGAAACTTACTTATTTGAAAAAATTCCTGCGCGGCGAGTTTTGCGGGTAGAGGGGCGAGAGAGGGCGCACCTGAAGGGGAAAGTTCCCAAGTTTGTTTCTTAAATAAATTTGCTGTTGTGCAAGAATTAACTGAACGCGATTTTGTTGCTTGTCAAAATGCATGTGAAATGCTCATTGACAACCTGCCAGAAGACGCGGTTCTTTTTTTTTCAGTGACGAGGCTCACTTCCACATTTCCGGCTGCGTCAACAAGCAAAACATGCGTTATTGGTGTGGTGTAAATCCATGTGAGCATCACCAGAAGCCACTTAACTGTGAGCAAGTTACTGTCTGGTGTGTGATGTCGGTAATGGGAATAATTGGTCCTTATTTTTTAAGAAAACGAATGCGCAGTTACCATTAATGGAGCTTGTTACAGCAACATGATTTAGGAATTTTTCTTCCAAGTCTCGAAGAAATGAACGTTAGGAACGTGTGGTTTCAGCAAGATGGAGCCACAGCACACAACAGCACGAGACTCAATGAATTTGTTGCGACATTTCCCCGACAGCCTCATCTCTCTCAGAGGCGATCTCCAATGGCCGCCACGCTCTCCAGATTTGGCTCCTTGCGATTTCTTTTTATGGGGATATTTGAAATCTCTGGTTTATGTTGATCGACCACGGACCATAGCACACCTCAATAACCACATTTGCGGCGCCATTGCTAACATACCGATTGATATGCTGCCAAGAGTGGATACGAATATCAAAAAATCGACTTCATCAGTGTATGCGCAATGGGGGTTGCCATTTATCCGATATAATTTTCAAGACTGCATGAAAAAAAAAATTGGGAAATTGTATTCTCAAATAAAAAAAATTAAAACAATCCTTGAAGTACTTTTGTTTTTATTGACCTTTCAAATAAGTAAGTTTCTCTGGCGCACCCTGTACTAACAGCTGATACCATCCTGACAGGAGATGTGAATGAGCATGCTCCTCACTGGCACTCCAGTAGTATCACAGATGTCAGACGAATATATACGTATATAGAAGAGCTGATACTTACCTCAGATATGACCACCAGGAATGAAGAAACATTTACTAGAGTACCATTTGATCAGACACTAAGACAAACATCGCCAGATATCACAGTACTCTCACAAGACCTCAAGTGCTGAAGAGATACTTAAAATGAGAAATGATGACAACAACATCATCAGACCACCTCCCAATCATACTAACAATACAAACCCACAATAAGGAAAGGAGAATAAGAAAACAGAAGACCTACATTAATTTTAAAAAAACCAAATTGGGATTGGTACAAAGAATATATTGACAGTATGCTATCAGTAGACAATGAAAGACCATATAATATCAAAGAGGCAACAAAGAGAATAGAATAGAACTAGCAATAAAGAAAGGAAGCAAGAAATTCATCCTACAAGGAAATGTAAAATTAAAAAGAAATCCCCTACTGGAGTAAATCAAGGAACAAATAGAAGAAAAAAAACAAGAAAGAAATTGCAGAAAGTTTCGCAAAGCTATACACAGGATCCGCAAAGAAGGTAAGCAGCAAACCCCTAAGTAACAACTAATAGGAAGCTGGAAAAGATACAGAGAGAAGAGGCCATAATAACTGAAGAAGAGGTGAAGAAGGCAATAGCAAGATCAAAAAGCAAGATATCAGAGGGTCCAGACAGAATAACACTGGTACACCTGAAACACCTCGGACCAGCGGCCATAAAACACCTAACAAGGCTATTCAATGATGTGGTCAACAGAAACAACATACCAGAACAATAGAAATTAGCAAGAAGAATAGCCATATCAAAGCCAGGAAAATATTGTAATATTGGCAAGTCGTACAGACCGATCTTGCTTCTGTTGCCAATTGTGAAGATACTGGAAAGAGTTCTATTGAACAAAATTGAAAGGGACATCCCAAATATCCAACACCAACATGAATACAAAAGAATGCATTCAACAACATTGGCACTGCATAAAATAAATGACTTCATCTCTGCAGGTTTCAATGAAAATGCACTTCCCAACAGAACAATAATGGTGGCCTTGGATATGAGTACCATAGCATTTGCAACACTGTCAATTATGAAAGCATGATAGAAAAGCTACTGCTAAGACCAATACCCAAAGAGATTGTTAAGTATCTAGCAAACTATCGAAGAGGACAAAAAGGTTATATGTGGACTACTATGGAAGCAAATCAAGGCAAAAAACCTATCATGGAGGTATGCCTCAGTGGGGAGTGCAGTCTCCGGTACTGTTTAACATAAAAATGGCGGACCTACCAACACCGCAAGAAGGAGTGAGAATTGAAGTGGTGACCTTTGCCAACGACATCACGGTACTGGTGAGTCATAAAGATCTGCAGACTGCCAAATCCAACATCACTATTTACCTTAACAGCTTTATAAAATGGATAGAGAATAACCACCTGCTGCTTAACACAGAGAAAACTCAAGTCACACCATTAACACCGGATCCCAAGCGGTACAGCATCAACCTGGAGATCAATGTGTAAAGGAACAACGTTGGGAATGGAGAAACATCTGAGAATCTTGGAGTTACTTCTGATCCAAAGATGATATACTCTGAACATGTAAGAAGCACTGTGAGCAAAACAAAGAAAAACATCAACATATTAAAAGCCCTATTTGGAGCTGACTATTGAATGGACACAGAAACTGTTGTACAAACCTACAAGGCACTGATACGTCCAGTTCTGGAGTATGGAAGTTGTATATGTGGTCCCATAACATTGGAGAGTGGCTGGCAGAAAATACAGACTGCTCAGAACTCTGCCCTGAGAATTGCTACAGGACACACACGCAACACCAATCCAAAACATCTTCACAACAAAATAGCTGTCCTGCACCTGAAGAACCATGTGCAGATGATGGCCTTGCAACTGAGGGAGAAGAGCAAAAAACTGGAAGAACACTCACTGAGAAGTTTGATAAATCCAAAGCCAATCAGACTTGTGAAAAAGACCATATACAACAGTGAGTAAAGCATAAAAGTGTATGACTATAACAACAACACCAATAGCAGCAAGGAGGTAAATAGTAACATGAAGACATTGCATACCACTGCAGTCAAGAAATACCTAGAGTCAAGAACACCCAACAAGATTCTAAATGCACCAGCACCTATAGTAAATGAAACAGAGAGGACCTTGGACCAAGGTATGAGGTGCACATTGGCACAGTTAAGAGCAGGGAAATGCCCAATGCTTAGAGAGTACCTCAATAAGATTGATGAGGCTAATTACCCAACACCATCATGGCCTCTGTGTCAAAATCACATCCACAACACACTTGATCTGTTTGGGTGTGCTGAAATTCCATCCAGCCTGCGGCCTGAAGATCTATGGAATAAGCCAGTCAGCCAGTGGAAGTGTCCCAAATAATCAGTGTGGCAAGACCGGCTTGGCGCTCCAGAGGGCGAAGGGCCTGGGTGGCACTCAGTCAAGTGACGTCATGGTGATCATCATCATGGAACAATAAAGTCTGCTGTTGGAATGTTGCAGCATCAGCCAGTGCACAGTAGCTGTAAATTTGGTTGCTGTCCATGAACTTATGTGGATTCAAACTATGTGAATCACTTATGTGCAATACATCAACAGTTCATAACAGGAAGAGGATAGGGCCAAGGACTGATCCCTGTGGTATGACACAAGTGACACACAATGGTGTAGAAGAAGAGTTTGACTGTCAGTGTCAAATGCATTGGAATCTATTGCAGAAATAAGACTCAAGGCTCAAGCTCCCACAGCACTGTGACTGTGCTGTGCAAGACAAATGATATGCCAAGTTTCTGCAATAAAGTTTCATCCTTGTATGGTTGAAAGTATTATAAGTATAGGTATAAAACGCAGCTGAAAGGTTACCATACAATAAGCCGTCAGCCTGTTGGGCCACCGGCACCAGGCACCACTCACCAGGACCAGGGCATGTTGAATGGTTCCTACAGAGCCATGGCCCACAGGGTCAGCTTGAGTTGGGACTCCACAGAGCTAGACAACCGTCACACTTGTCAACGATCGTCTACCAGGCGGTCACTTTTCCGATGGCACGATTGCTTGGCCAGTTGGCCCCAGCAAGCAACTCATGCCATCGAGATCAGAAAGGGAAAAACTCGCCTTATCGAGACGTACATGCTGGTGAAATCAGATCTTAAAAAAGTTAAAAATTGAAAAAGTTATGACGGAAAGTTTGCACAACTTTTTTCACAACTTTTTGTGTTGTATTTCAAACTTATGTTTTTCAAAAACAGGTTGGCTCGATATTCTTTACTGCAAAAATTATACTTGGGAGCCTAAGCTCCCAAGTATAATTTTGGTTGGTTGAAACTTAACTGTGCCAAGTTTGAAATACAACACAAAAAGTTGTGCAAACTTTCTGTCATAACTTTTTAAATTTTTAAATTTTTTAAGATCTGATTTCACCAGCGTGTACGTCTCAATAAGGCGCATTTTTCCCTTGCTGATCTCGATGGCATGAGTTGCTTGCTGGGGCCAACTGGCCAAGCAATCGTGCCATCGGAAAAGTGACCGTCTGGTAGACGATCGTTGACAAGTGTGACGGTTGTCGAGCTCTGTGGAGTCCCAACTCAAGCTGACTCGGAGCTAAGTTAAAGTGAGACAGGTGCCCAGAGGTGGGCAGTAGCGCGCTACATGTAGCGGCCGCTACATTTTCAGTAGCGGTAGCGGCTCTACATTTAAGGCAATGTAGCGGTAGTGGTAGTGCCCACTACATATTTAAGTAGCGATACGAAATTTTGCCGCTACAGCGCTACCGCTACATTTATAGATAAAGCCTTTAGATTTTACTTAAGGGGACCAGCTACCCTCCAACAAAATTTTTTTGTTTACTGACGGATCGTTTTTAAACTTGGTACACATATGTAAAACAGAAATCTAAGACCTTTTTGTCCATGTAAATTAAAAAAATGAAAGAAAACGTGGAATTAATAGAAAATAGCAAATAAGCNTTTAAAAAATGTTTTATTATCATTAAATGTTAATGAGTAAATCCCAATAGCAGAACAATAAATATTTAGAGATTTCCAATAATTTTGGCCATTGTAGCGGCACATGTAGCGCGCTACATTTTACTGTAGCGCCCGTTACAATCTAGTGGGTGTAGCGGTAGCGGTAGCGCCGCTACATTTCCAAGTAGCGCTGCCCAGCTCTGCAGGTGCCACAGGACTCCAGTCCCCAGGATGACCCATAACTATACTTATGCCATAACATAAGGCATAGGTATTAAGTAGACAAGGCTGATGCCCATAGTGGCAAAGCAGAGAGTTCTTTAGACTCTCCTTCAAGTTCAATTTCAAGTCCCTATAAGTAGACCAGTAAAGTATCATGGATAGGCTACCAGCCTACCACCCACTATGCAGAGGGTGGATGCAGCGTCGGCAATATATGGATTTTTAAGCCCAAAGCGTCGCCGGCCATTTTAAAGATGCGTCGCCGGGTAATAGCATTATCATAATTAAGTAATTGGTTTAAATCTTGAGTTATTGAGGAAATTAAAAATGAACTGATTCCAAAAAAGCTCTGGTTTGCCACTATGCTGATGCCTGACAAGCTACAGTGGACAGCCTACAGGCTACAGCTACTCCTACTTAGGCTACTTGACTAACTTGAGAAGATCAAAAACTGAAAAAGCAAGCATGATATTCATATTCATGGTATCTCAATATGAGGCTTCTATCGGAGGCAAGGTGCATATAGCACAATACTAAGGTTTTTATGTTGCTGAAAAATAAGTGAAAATGTTATAGATTATAACAACTTGCTGTTGAAACTTGAATGGAGGTGGTGGTGGTGGTGGTTGCAGCCTTGCAGGTGAAGAAGAAGTCGCACGTTGACCGCTTGTAACACCTGGACTCAGCAATAGTTATTTAGCTGAAGTCTTCATCATGTTTCTCTCAATTTCATTTCCTTCTTTGCTGGCATGAGCTCTCTTTGTTATCAACAACTTGAATGGAGACATTTCAGAACTCGGGGGGACTAGAGACTCTCACCCCGGTCCTTCAGTAAACAATCCGCTACTACAAAATGAGTCTCAATCGAAGGCAAGTAACTACCGATTTACATGTATTCTAAACGCAATGCTTTTAAAGCAAATCCCAAGTCATCTGCGTTTTAAAGTTAATAATAACTATCAGCAAAATAGTTTTGCTCATTTCAATCCACTACTACCGAGGGTTTTTTTGAAAATAAGCAATCGTACTGCACTGAAGTTAAAGAATTGACAAATTCATGGCTTGATCAAGAGAATGGATCACGTTCCCAAAACTCGGAACATAAACATGACTGCAAACGCTAGCCAACCGTTTACCAACTCGTCTTTAAGCCAATCTCAAAACTTATTTATAGTCCACGTTTTTATACGCAACGAGCCTCTGATAAATCCAAAATGAAACGCCAAAAAAAATGTTTTTCCACTAAAATATCCGGCAACTAGCTCATCTGCGTGCTTTCCTTACCGGCTAACAACTTGGACGTTCTATGATAATCCATCAACCCTCAGCAGTCAACCTACTGTTTTACATCACAAAAACTGTTCAATTCAATAGCTATTTTCATCCTGTAACATTATACTGCCATTCAGGGAGTTCAAAATTTGGCGACAATCCTTAGCTCTTACTCAATATAGTTTTCAAATAGAAAACGGCGAATCTCAACTTTTTCTTTCACTTGGTAGACAGCGGCACAATAAAAATCATTTTTAGCAGGAAAAGGAAAAACAGCTGAGACGCGTCAGGCAAGACTTTATTCATCCGGAACGACAGTGCCCTTCTCGGAGACGTAGATGCCGTCCAAGAACTTCCTGATATCCTTGTTGCGCACCTTGCAGGCCTGGTGGATGGTGGCGGCAGACTGCGACACTCTCTCGATGTCGTTGCCTTCAAGGATGAGCTCGTCCTTAAGTGCTTTGGAAACCTGCACGGTCACACCTGCAAGAAATCCAAAAGTAATCATTAAATTTGCATGGAAATTCATTGTCCAAGGTTTTAAAAACACCAGGAAATACTAAATAACATTAAAGTTGAAAAAAAAAACACTTTTTTCTCTACAGGGTCTGCCATATTTATGGCAACGCACGTTTTTTTCCAATGAAACAGACAGGGGCATTATTTTTTATTGGATGAGCAGTAGCCAAGAATTACCTTAACAATTCTCAGACATATTTATTCAATTTGACCACCCTTATTTTTAATGATGGCTTCCAATCTACGCGGGAAAGCTTCACAGGAGACACGCAGCATTTCTTGAGGGATCTAGTCCCATTCTCGTGTCAATTTAGACTTAAAACTATCCAATGAATAATCGTGAGGTGTTCTGTCACTTCTGCAGACCCTACTCTAAAACAACCCAAAAAGAAAAGCCGAGAAGATTCAAATCAGGGCTTCTTGATGGCCATTCAATTTTGCTAGTGAACGCTGGGATGCGACCCTAAACCCAGTTTTGGGTCATGTTTGAGCCATGTGATGGGGCAGAGTCTTGTTGGAAACTCCATGGTGAGCCGTTGAAGTGTTCACGGGCCCAAGGTAACAACACAGCTTCCAAAATGTCCGAAATGTATCGCTGACTGTTCAATTTCACTCCTGAGGGACAAAAACGAGTGGGGACCTCCCAGTGGCGGTTACCGCGGCCCAAACCATCACGGACATGGGATTTTGACATCGTGTTGCTGTTCTGGTTGCCACAGATCCATCCCGACTCCAAACTCTTTCATTTTGACGATTAACGCTTTGTTCAATGTCAAATTTTTTCTCTTCACTGAACACCAAGTTGGGCCGCGTGCCATCCCTCAATGAGATCCATAATGTGCTAGCATCTTTCAAGCCTCATTCGTTCATGACGGTCTGTTAGTTCATGCCTTGTTTGCATCTTGTAAGGGGAGGTTTTGAGGTCGTCTTCAAGGACTCAACGCATTGATGTCTGACTGACTCCTGCTTCAGCAGCCAATTTTGCAGCTGAGCGACGAAGGTTTCTCCTCAATTTCTCCCTCGTGTTTTTGACCAATTGTTTTGTTCGGACACTTCGTTTCCTTCCTTGACCAGGTCGATTGCACGTTTCACCAGTTTCCTTGAATTTTTTACCACCTTCCACACAGTTTCACAACGACTTTGGAGCTTTTTTGCAATGACTGAATTACTCTCGCCCTTTTCAAGAAGGGTTACAATTTCATTTCTATCTACTGCCATAAGTAATAGAAAATTTAGACACCTTATACTTCTGCAATATCAAATAGATGAATTAATAGAGGATATTAAACTTCATTATAAGAGAAAATTCTCCTAGAAACTAATTTATTTTTATATAGCAATCATCCGTTACCATAAATATGGCAGGCCCTGTATATGCCTGGCTTTTTGCGCAGTATAAGTGTGACATAGTTGAAGTCTGTACTCAGGCATAGCTTTATGCTAACAAAAACGGCTAAAGGACATTGGGTTTCTCCTCACCTTCTCCCTCGTGTTTTTGACCAATTGTTTTGTTCGGACACTTCGTTTCCTTCCTTGACCAGGTCGATTGCATGTTTCACCAGTTTCCTTGAATTTTTTTACCACCTTCCACACAGTTTCACGACGAATTTGGAGCTTTTTTTCAATGACTAAATTACTCTCGCCCTTTTCATAAAGAGTTACAATTGCATTTCTATCTACTGCCATAAGTAATAGTAAATTTAGACACCTTCGATTTCTGCAATATAAAATAGATGAACTAATAGATGATATTAAGCTTCATTATACGAGAAAATTCTCCTAGAAACTAATTTATTTTTGTATAGCAAACATCCGTTGCCATAAATATGGCGGACCCCGTATATGCCTGGCTTTTTGCGCAGTATAATGTGTGACATAGTTGAAGTCTGTACTCAGGCATAGCTTTAAGCTAACAAAAACGGCTAAAGGACATCAAACCCTGTGCTTTGGGGAAGAGAATTCTGTGTTATCACTAAAAAATAACTATCAATGAGGAATGCAGCGACTAACCTGGCAACATCTTGACGTGTCGGATGTGCTTCTCCCCTAAAAAGTTTCTGATCTCAACGGACTTGCCGGCTGCGTCGATGACGGTGTTGATGGGGAAATGGGCGTACACGGACCTCATCTTGTACTGGTAGCCCTGCACGCAAAAAAAACACAAACATTTTAAACAAGTACAACTAGCAAGAATTATTGAAAAACCTGTTTCAACTGAAAATTGTTGATATCAATCTTTATCTAGTGTAGACGTGAATGGAACGATATGAAGAAATGTCAACAGAATCTTGCCCAGAGTTCAGCACATAAAACTTTATTGCATAACGCTTTAGCTAATAAAGCTGCCATTAAAGCCTAAACTGATACCTTTTTAAATGCATGCAAGAATTCGTGGTTTCCGTGTGCAATTAAATTGCATTTTAATGGTATTATCAAAGTTCATCATTATAACGACATGAATACAGCTTCTATCAAAAATTGACAAGTGTCGCAGATCACCATTGTATCAACTGGATTCCAACTTCCATCAAATATTTATATGTGTAACATTTTTTTCATTGTAATATTAACTACATTACATACAACTTATATCAAAGATTTATATGCGTCACAGTTCATCATAATATTAACTACAGTTCATACAGCTTTTTTCAATTATTCTACGCATCACAGTTAATTATTATATCAACTTTTAATAAAGATTTATATGCATCACACTTGATCATATCAAATGGATTATAACACCTATCAAAGATTTAAATTTAATAATCATCCACCTTAATAAAAGTTCTGCCAAGATTTAGTCGGCATCAAATGTATTATATATATAATTGATTTCACTTACAGGTTTTAATTTTCAACATCTTTACAACATACATAATACTACCACAAGTTATTCCTATACTATACATTCAAATTTTATTAACACAACGGAAAGTTAAAATATTAACTGAAAGCTTCAAGAAAATCTTCATTCAGACCACATGCCATGTTATTTTAAGGAGACACAAGCGAACACAAAAAATATGTTAATTATGATAATCATTATGTCATTTATGTTGATCAGAAAACTGCATGGAGATTCCCTCTATCATCCAACATTACAATATTAATTGAATTTCAAGTGTCTAACGCAGGACTCAATATTTTTGGCAGCTAATAGATTGACAAGTTAATGGCTGTCGCTGATGAAAATGTAGACACACTTACCTTGGTGACTCCAGTGATCATGTTCCTGATGTGTGTGCACAAGGTGCGGACGCAGGCAACCTCCTTGCGGGTTCCAAACCACTTCTCAACCTTAACTTCGCCGTGGGGGTATTTTTCCGAGGGTTTCAACACCTGCAAACAAAATTAAATGTATCATTTCAAATCCGGACTAGCAGTTGTCCAGGAATGATGATCCTCCAACTGAATTGTGCTTTGGCCTAAGAACAATATATGAATTGTATTTGTTGAAACAGGCCATGCTTTGAAGAACCTTCATTCAATTTCAATTATGCATGTTAAAGCAATGTTCATTTTTATTTAAAACGAAATTTTTGTCTTCCTAAAACTAAAAATCAAATTAAATTATTCAATCCAATGTACCTACTTTGTAAGCCAACTAATTCCATGACAATAAATATAGTGTTATTTTGTTATTTCCAGATTTAATATTGCAACACATCAGTTATCGAGGCAAAATTATTCAAAACACCAGGAGGGCATGTAAATATCCAGGTTTCAACCTAATAAACAACCTACAATTTACAATAGATAATACTACCTCATAATTTCATTACATTTAGGTTGAAAGCATATTGGTGCAGATATCAAAATTTTGCAATCAAGTACAACAAAAAATTATTTTTATACTTTGCAACCGACAGCTTGTCAAATAAGAAGTGAAAAATTTGTTACTTCCTATATTACTTACATTCTTAACAATTTTCATTATTATCAAACCTTTTTCTACACCAACCAAATTCACATCAAACCTTCCATCTCATGGTTTAAAAAAAAATTAACATTTTTCCAATGAATTCAGACTGGAGTGAGTAGGAATAAAGGCAGACTTACATAGATGTCCATCTGAACATGTTTGAAGGCTCTCTTCAGGACACCTCTAGGCCCCTTAACTGTGACCTCACGCTTCTTGGCATCAACAGTGACCCCCTCAGGGATTTTCACACTCTGGGAGGTGTTAATCACCCTCATGATGATGTAGGCCTACCTGAAAAGGTAAATTTGAATAATTATTATGTGCATTCATTTCTAGATTCATGGAATTATTGGTAAAATAGGTCCAAGTCTCTATATCTCTTGCTGCAAAACATCAATACCATATTAGCATAAAAAATAATCTTCATTGAAGTGCCAGGCTCTAATCAGGATATTTGGCAAATCTAACATTGCCGACAATTTTTCAAACTAAATTGTAATAACTTGAGGTAGCTTCATATTCATGAGAGGATCAACATTTTAATGGAGTCCACAGTATTCCCTAATGTCACAGAAATACAGGTTAGACATTTAGATATTGAAGAATATTTTTTGGAGGAACAGGATGAACTTGGCTTTTTCAAGTTTACCAACTAGCAGCCATAGTCAGCTCTGATCCATTCTTCCATATTGGGATATTTACTACTTTCTCAACTCAACTTTCAAAGACAACTCCTTTGCATCAATGTATAACCCAAACTATTAAAAACCATTAAAAACTCAGTAGCCACTTAAGGAACATGATGCCATTAACATCAAATAAGGAATTTTAAGTAAGGATTGGATCGTAAAAGAATGTGGTTAAATGGCAGCTACGCATCTTGTGACCTCCAGATTGGCAAATTGGGCAGAAGAGAGACACAAAGAAGATAAAACAAAAATTAATATATTCACTGTCAAACAAGATTGGAATTATGAGACCCATTAGAAAAATCTAGCAGCTTCAAACTGACACTCTTTCAATATATTGGATGATTGGGAATCTTGTGACCCAATTGTGAACATTTGTAAACACTAAGGTAGTAGGTAATTAATCTAGCAGGGATCTCACAGCTTACAAGAATGGCAAGAAAGCTCTTTTCACAGCTTTTCAGCCTCATAGGGCAGATGTATTCTATGCTGACAGGGCCGGAAAATTCCTATTTTTTCCTGAAATATCGCAGCTCTAATATATAATTTCAGCAGGTATGAAATTTCGTGGCACTAATGTCATATTTTTTTGTTTGATTGAAAAAATAGCAGTTTGCACTCCACAAACGGGTCGTTTCATAAAATTTTCAACTTCCACAATCCACAGTATATATATTTTAATACTCCTGCCTTCCGCCAAAATGACATGCAGAACGTAATAACATCAGCATCAAAACAACAAGTCAACCAAAACGTTTCCTAGAAGATCACAAAGTTGCCGTTATGTCAGAGAAGTTAGACTGCATTATCACTTGTTCAGTTGCCACTAAGTGAAGACAAATGTTAGTGACTGTTTTTAGGGTAAAATTAGAGATGTGGGGACATGGACAGTGCAGAAACACATGCATGGGACTTTACACCTCTCTTTATTACATAGTGGCAAAGCAGAGAGTTTTTAGACTCAGCCTCAAGTTCAGTTTTGAGTCCTATAAGTAGACAAGTAAAGTATCATGGATACCAGCATTATCCAATTGTGAACATTTGTAAACAATAAGGTAGTAGATAATTAATCTAGCAGGGATCTCACAGCTTACAAGAATGGCAAGAAAGCTCTTTTCACAGCTTTTCAGCCTCATAGGGCAGATGTATTCCATGCTGGCAGGGCTGGAAAATTCCTATTTTTTTCCTGAAATATCGCAGCTCTAATATATAATTTCAGCAGGTATGAAATTTCGCGGCACTATGTCATAATTTTTTGTTTGACTGAAAAATAGCAGTTTGCACTTCACAAATGGGTCGTTTCATAAAATTTTCAACTTCCACAATCCACAGTATATATATTTTAATACTCCTGTCTTCCGCCAAAATAACATACAGAACGTAATAACATCAGCATCAAAACAACAAGTCAACCAAAACATTTCCTAGAAGATCGCAAAGTTGCAATTATGTCAGAGAAGTCAGACTGCATAATCACTTGTTCAGTAGCCACTTAAGTGAAGACAAATTTTAGTGACTGTTTTTAGGGTAAAATTAGAGTTGTGGGGACATGGACAGTGCAGAAACACATGCATGGACTTTACATCTCTCTATTTAACATAGTGGCAAAGCAGAGAGTTTTTAGACTCAGCCTCAAGTTCAGTTTTGAGTCCTATAAGTAGACAAGTAAAGTATCATGGATACCAGCATTATCATACAAAAGGTATTGGTTTATATCTTCAGTAAATGTGGGAATTAAAAATGAACTGATTCTAAAAAATATCTGGTTTGTCAGTTGTCACTATGCCCTTTAATGCCATGACTAGTGCTTTCCTGCCATTTCCAGAACCAAAAGATCCCCAACAGGCAACAGATGAATTACCTATCTAATTGTTAACAAAAGTGCACAATCGGGCCACAAGTTTCCAAAGGTATTAAAAATTTATCATGCCAGAGCCACAAGATTTCAGGAATAAGTAGGAAAATTCCAATCCTGACCCAAGGTACTGGGTACATACTAGGTAGTTGGTAATTTCTTACATTAAAAGTAAGAAAAATGAGACATATTGCCTAATATTTTATTATTTTTGAAAAGGTCTTGTAAAATTGTAGTTTTTAGCTGCAATTTGTAGAAAATTCTGCCCAATATTCCAGATTCAGATTTCAGTTGTTTAAAGTCAAATTAACTTCACTAAATTCCCTCACACAGCAAATAAATTATTATGTCTCTTATTGCATGTATATTTATGTTCATTTGTTTGTTTCAGTTGCTGAGTGTATTGTTCCACCCATAGTTTCATATTTTATATTCCATTGTTTCATATTCTATAGTTTCATAGTTCTATAGTCCTAAATTATCTTGTTTATTGATCCAATTTTAATTATGAGTTTGGCAAACTATTTCTTATTGTATAAAATTTTAACACATTGGCTTTTCTTTTAATAAATGAAAATAAATACTTGAATAAAAGCAAATCCCTAAGTAATTCATTAATTCCTGTTATCTGTGACAAGCACTATAAGAGTAAAATTCAGTAAGTGAACGAGTTTGTTCCACCCGCTAGTGCGCCCGGTTACAACGTCACTCAGAACACCACACTACGCGCCAGCATGGATGAAATGTCACAAACTGTTGCCATATTAATTTAAAAGCCTTTAGAATTCAAATCTACAAAATCCATGAATTCTGATGCTGTGTGTGACTAAATTTGGCATTTTGTGATTTGTGAGACTAATTCTGACAGCCAGGATGGAATTCTAATTTTGAAGGTTCATACATTATTTCAATCCACCAACTGAAAGCACTTCAAACTCTTACTAATTCGTAATTCCTACGCCCTGTGTGAGCTGTATTGGAATGAGTTTTATTAACAATTTTTAATTTTTTAATTAAGCTTTTGCTTATGAGCTATTAAGCTTTTAATTAAGAAAATTTCAATTTTTGAATGCAGCTCAGAACGGGCTGTGTGTGTCCAATTCCTAGCTGTATTGGAATTAGTTTTTAGGTGTCTAAAACGGTCTCTTAGGGTAAATGCGGTATATTCCGACATCGTGGGTAATTCCGTCACCTCTCTAGTTTTTCCTTTATATTAAGCTTTGTTTTAGTTCCATGTGTTCGTTGATGGTTGAAATGGTGGTGTCATACATTAGTGCATCAAACTACTGCCAAAACAATAGGTCTTGGCCATCTAGCAGGAAAATATTGAGATCCATAGAGAGACAATGCACGCTACCCAGTGAGATCATCAAAAAATGTGTCAAATTTGACAGTTGACCTTGCTCTACCAAATAGTGAATAACTGGTTGTATAGGAAGAATATTATGATTTGAGACTTTTAAATAAGTCTGTTAATATATTAGGAATCCTTTAAGTATACTTGTATTTGCTGATTTCAAGTGGTAAATAAATTAATAGATGATTAAGTTGAGAAATTGATTTAGACACATGAAAACTAATTTCGTCACAACTTGAATTGGACACACACAGATTGTTCCAAGCTATGTACAAAAATTAAAATTTGCTTAATTAAAAGCTTAATAGTTGTTAATTAAAAGCGTAATTAAGTAGTGTTCAATATTCATTAGTGTTCTAATTCAAAACCGTGTTGTATTCCAATACAGCTCACACAGAACGGAATTCGAACACGTGGATGACGGCATTACGTATCAGTAGAATTTGAAGCGCGGACGGAATACGCCTCACCACGTGCTGAATATTGCCACACAGTCGGAATATAGGGATTTGGTAGGTTTGCATTCTAAAGGCTTTTAAACAAATATGGCAACATTTTGTGACGTTTCATTGTTGCTGGCGCGTAGTACGGTGTTTTGCGAGTCACATAAAGCAAACAGAACTTGAGTAATGCATACGGTTATTTTTTTATAGTTTTTCATTTCTCGATGTGTCCTTAATGTGTCGGAATATACCGCGTTCACCCTAACTTAATTATCTTTTAATTTATTTCCCACTTAAAATCAGCATATAGGCTACAAGTATACTTAAAGGATTCCTAATATATTCACAGACTTATTTAAAAGTCTCAAACCATAATATTCTGTCTACACAAACAGTTGATCACTATTTGGTAGAGCAAGGTCAAGTGAGTGGTCAACTATCAACTTTGACACGTGATTCAATATTCTCACTACCTAGTTGACTTGGATGTTTGCTCTGAGCCTGAGGATCTTAACATTTTCCTGCCAGACCTAGCTAGTGTTTTGCGGGAATCTGGCACCGCGTGGCGCGCAATAGCATGACGTCACTATTTCAATTTTCAACCATCTACGCATGCGTGAAAGTAAGACAAAGCTTAATATAAAGGAATAAGTTGAGAAATGTCAGAATTACCCACGATGTCAGAATATGGTGCGTTTACCCTATTAAAACTGCACATTGCACAACAGAGTTATTAGCCATAACCCAGAAGATAAATAAACAAAACTGTATAACACTACATCACCAATCATTGGATAATTTTAATATTTTAATTTACAATTTAAAAAACCTAAGCTTCAGCACTGTAGAATTTGTAACTTAAATCAACGAGAGACATCTACAATCAAACATGATTAGTTAAGATGCCTTAATCAAATAATATAATATAACGCGATATAAACTTTCGGGATTTGGTAACACGGACACGGTTCCAGTGCGGCTGTTGAGCCCATGACCCGCGATAGCTGGAACCGAATATTAAATTCATTGGTTTATTTCAATCAAAAATATTTATAACCAAATAAAATCACTTGAATTTGAAAAACACTAAGCAATCTAGTACTAAGTTAAAAATATCTCACCAACTTTAGGAATTATGAACACGAACCTCGGAAGAGACTAAAGAGCACTCTACGGACGAAAACAATTCGATGTTGCCACACAAAACGGCTCAGTTTTCTTTACGGTAAGCACAGCACCAATGCCCAAGAAGGCTGGTGCTAAAAAATGTAACTAGAATTGAACTTTGGGCTTTTTTGTGCGATCAAATAATTTTCATCATAAAAAAGATCTAGGAGATGTAGTGAGAACATGCTTTTAAAATTAATATCCCGTAAACAAAATTCATTTGGGTCCACTACCAAGGGCCGAAAGTCCGGCCGACACCACTAAGTTGAAATTATAAAATGAATTTGGGCCAATATTAGATAAAATGAAATATATATTAAAAAATCCTGATGAAAAGTAATAATATTTGAATTCACAGAATATAAATTCCCTCTTTTAAAATGGTGATTTTATCCTTAAAATTAATGGAGTATTTGTATTCTCGAATATCATTTGTAAGTGAAAATAAAACATAAAAAATATAATAATATAAAAAATTAGTCTCTTCCTGGGTTGATACTAATTTTTCAATGCTTGGCTGGAGACTGAAATCGGGATCACCGTAACTTTTGGTGTAATTTATCATATTGTTTTTGTTCTGTAATATTTTTTACTTCGTAAAAAAAGCTTGTTCATTAATTCGATCAAGATGGGTTTCAATTCAAATGTTATATGTGGAAAGAGTGCAAAAAATAGCGTTTAGCGCGTTAAATAAACACAAAATGTGTCCAAATATCTGATTACTCTCTCAGGAGCGTATTGCGAGTAAACATATTTATTATCAATTAGATCTGGATCGGTTTCGATTTGAGAAATATATGCGTGGAAATAATGCTGTAAGGCCAGGTTTGCCAGATTGCCGAAAAAAACGGCCCAAGTCCGCGCCAAGCGAAAGTGCGTGTTTGCCTTTCCATTATTATCCGTTAACAGTTGCACTTTTTACAATTACATGCCAACAGGGTGCGTACAGGATGACCCAGTCGTTACAGTTCAGAGTATCAGGATTGGAGCAGAGAGGTGAGATTTCAATCCCAGCTTTGTGAAACCGTTTCTGGTGAATTCGACCAGGAAGCCTGGTGGTTAAGCACGACAAACTTGGAGCAGCGCGTTGTATGTTGGAAGCCCGCAACAAACTTTGAGTGCATCGGCTATACGTCAAACGGCCGAATCAACGCTGAAACCGATATTATTAATTATTATTATTATTATTAAGCCCGCAGCAAACTTTGAATGCATCGGCTATACGTCAAACGGCCGAATCAACGCTGAAACCGATATTATTAATTGCACCTAATTTCATGATGGAGAAAGGTTGAAATTATTGATCTAGAATCTAAAATGAAATAGAATTGTATGTAATATATTACAGCAAGTGCATGAATTCATTTTTCTTCATTTGAATTCACAATTGGTATAGCTATGTATACTCTTAGCTATGTGTACTCACAGTTGGTCTAGCTATGTGTGTCTGAAGGTGTTTGCCGGACTTAGTCTAACAGCATCAATTTCTGGCGCTTTAGATCATTCTTATTGCGCCGTATTTTACTTTGGTCAGTGCAGGCAAATAATCCGGAATATCGTATGCAAACGGCGTTCGAAAATTCATATAAAGTCGTACACATGTATCGCTCCCGAGTAATACACGACGAGACCGGCGTTATGGCACCACGCGCTCGTCGTGCAAAGATACCTCAATTAGGTCAATTTGGCTTGGATAGGGGAAAATTTTCGTCGAGCATCACCATAAGATTGACATTTCCAGCAGACAAAATCGCTGTCTGAGAGATTAGACAGTCAGACACACGTTTCACGAGATGAGCAAAACTGGCTTGTGTGCGCCAAACCAGAAGAGAGTGAGGCATACCTCCATCTGGCGGCTACGGTGGAAAGAGAAATATTCTACTTTCCCTTATATATCCCTACGCTTGCTATTTTTAATAATTAAAGGCGTCCATTTTTTGCAACACATCGAATTTAAGAGATAACCTCGGAGGCAACACCCGTCTTTCTTGTGTGGTGCCTTAGCAGCTGCGCATGACATCTGAAAATGGCCAGGGTATCAGCAGAAGGTAACAGTCATCTGGCAAGTAATGAATCGTATCTGCCATCTGTGTCTGGCTTGCAATAGGCGATGACTTTCTCGGCTTATCCCTGAAGACTCGCCACGGACGAGAAGGTTGCGACGATCCCAGTTTCAGGCTGCTCACACAGCTCGGCCCACGCCAGTTCGGCAGGGCATGCATCGCTAGCGTCAGATGTTCGTCAGGGCTGCGACGTTCCCCCAACTCTCGTCTCCCATTGATATAACAGTTCCGTTCTGTCTGGTAATACTGTCCATCAGTTCAATCAGCTTGTGTCTAATCCAGCGCATTTTAGCGACGAAGATCCGACTCATTTGCTCCTACAAATGGACGCGGCAGGTATGAGGTGTAGCTAGTGATATCGTTCCAGTTAGTAGTCAGCTTCGATAAACGTACTCTGAAACATTCGAGCTCAGCAGCGAATATGATGAGCTTAAGGGTAAATATTGATAAGCTCAGTATAAATAGTTGCAGTAGTTTAAAAAGTTTAGTTACAGCCATCGAACTTTGGGCATAGTCGGATGAGTACATATAAATATTCTGCAAAATACATATAGGCACAGTCTAGGCAAGGTGGCCCAGTGGTTAAAGTTCAAAGTACCAAGATATTGGCGCAGAGAGGCGCGGGTTCGATCCCAGCTCTGTGCGACAGTTTCTGGTCAGAATCGCAAAGGAGGCCGGGCGGTTAAGCACAGCAGAATTGTAGCAGCGAGTTGCGAGTTCGAGACCGCAAAATGCTGTGAATGTTCTGCGTTGTTAAGAATCGGCGACAGGCCCACGGCCCAATAAACGCTGAAACCGCTATTAAGTACAATCTACGCAGTCTAGGCACAGTCTGCAGTGCATAGGCACAGTCTGAACAATATAAATACAGTCTGCGCAGTACAGCGCAGTGTTTATTGGTCTCTATCATTCGTTTCAATAACACTCAATTTCAAAGACATTGATTGCCTTCTTGAATACTACCACTAAAATACAAAATGGAAGGAAAAGAAAGGCGAAAGAAAGAATACGGTTTATTAGTAATTAGGTGCGACGGAGAAGGCAAGGCTTGCTCTTGGAAGCTCAATACAGCCGCACATAGAATGATCTACAGCACACCAACAATCATAAATTCATCTCAACAAGTACACAATTGTCACCTAGAGTTCTTTAAAACAAATTAAGTATTAGATTGTGAATAGAATAGAAATAAATTAATTTAGAGTTGGTGGACCACAACAATCCATTGAGCAACAACCCAAACCTTATTGGCTCGATCAGTAACGCCTTATTAGTGCACTCAAAGAAATGACACTTTGTCTCAATAGCGATGCATCTTTTGCCCTTGTGAAGGCCATCCTAAGCCAGTATGGCCCGGCCAAATGGCGGATCAAAGCTACTTCAGCTCTCTGCTCGTGCTGTGGGTAAGAAAGTATGTCACTAGTTGGACAAAGTAACCAATTCATTGCTTGGAGTGTGTGTAAAAATGGCTCGGGTTTCACCAGCGCCGGTGTTCATCTTACAGAAAAAAAGATTATTTGAGACCGTCTGCGAAAAATAAGCTTCGGTTACTGCTCGCTCTTATCATATAAAAAATAACTAATCTACGGAAGCAACAGCAGAAGACGAGCTCATCTGCCCCCTTGATTGGTCAAAAAAGTGAAGCGTACCAACCAATCACAAGGCGTGTTTCAAGCTCCACGTAGTGCATGTACGAACAAAGTGCGGACGTAGCGATCCCTTCACACTGAGCCGAAACGCAACTTCGAATGTGCGCAAGAATTTTGTGGCCCTAGAACGTAACGATACAAATCATTTATGAAAGTCGCCGCAGAATCTTTACTTCAGTTGAAATGTGCAGGGCACTTTAATGCGTAAAACAACAATTCGTGGTATTGATTGCGACAAATCAAGTCTCGATTGAGTTTTTTAGCACACGGTCGTTGAGAAGTGGCATCAGCACAAATGTGTCGAAATCGTATCAATACAACAAGAGTATTAAAAAAACAACATAGAAGATGCACTGCCATGACCTCAAGCAAAGAACCACCGCTAGCTATGCATCACACTCGACCCCGAAAATTCGCATAATAACACTGCAAATGTTAATATTTTCCCGGCAATTTTCAAGAAAACAATACCTTCGAGAACTTGCACTATTTTTTTCTTGGCAATCAAAGAAGTTTTTACAGTTGGCGATTTACATAGTAAGTCAACGGTCTTAGTGCAACTAAAAGCTGTCAGCCAATCAGCGCCCGCCTGACATGCCGCGTAGCAAGGTGCAACTAAAAGCTGTCAGCCAATCAGCGCCCGCCTGACATGCCGCGTAGCAAGGTGCAACTAAAAGCTGTCAGCCAATCAGCGCCCGCCAGACATGCCGCATAGCAGGTTAAATTCCAAGTACCATCAGTTGAACAAATTTTTAACAATGTTTATGATATGTATAGGCAGACAAAGACTAAATAGAAGCACAACGAACTTTGAGACTAATAATGTCAAGTTAACGACAGGTAACAGTAACAACGTCTTCCTTCTAACATAAAATGTGGGGAAAAAATCTCATCAATATAGAGTATGTGCCATAACAAATCAACTTCAGAGGAATGGGCAGAATAATTGGATCAATAATTATATTATTTGTTGCGTCTTTCATCACAATTACCCGCGGCAAGAACTTTAGCCTTGCAATCATGGCAGTGGATCTATAACAACGGCACCTAACAACCTTGTTTGTTATTATAAACCTAGTAACTAGTAACTACGACCACTTAACCACCACACTAATAACACTCATCTTATTACCTACAACACGAATATATTTCACAAGACACGTACAACGAATATAATCCACGAACACGAAGACGCAACACATACAAATGCCGGTGTCAGAACTAACAGGAAAGTCCTCTGATCTAGAAAAAGTGTTTCAGATGTTGCCTGTAACACCAAGTACATTGGACACATTAGCACCTACTCTCAAGTCTGAACACTAACTCGTCAAATGTTGAAAACCACAACCACGCAAAAACAACAACGATAGTAACGATCACACTACACAAAATACAAAAACAGCCATGAAAACTACGCTTACTCGCGCTTAATATTCAGAAAATACAGCATCATATGTATTACAAAGCTCTCAGTCATATATATCGACATACATAAAAAGTATTTTAAAAATACATTGAGATGTATTTGACTCTCGCATAAAATATAGTTAACTTTGAAAATAACGTTCTCTCATCAGAGCGGAGGAAAATGCTTCGTATATCATAGATAACGGAATGAATCATACATCATAGATAAAAAATGCACCACCCTTCATAGGCATTAAAATGCACCAGGTATCATAGATAAGAAAGTGTACCACGCATCATAGATAAGAAAATTCACCACCCTTCACAGGCATTAAAATGTACCACGTATCGTAGATACCAATTATACAAATAGGAGACACTAACCGTATAATTAATTAAATAGTTTCTACCAATTGACACCGCTCACAGATGGAAGCTGAATTTGTCTGATAAAACTCGTCAAAATAATGCAAGCGAGAGACCGCTGCGAATAGTTGTTAGGAAATCATCGAGCTCCTTACAATGAATTAAATTAAAAATTAATAGATACGAATTTATAAAAAAAGCAGGACAGAAATTAGAACTTACTGCCTATTTAAATGTCAAATTTAATATTTTCATTAAAAAATATAATCTTCGAAATTTCTGCATATTTGGCATTGACATGGATGAAATCTGGATAATTTTAAATTATTGGCCTTAGAGAAAGAACTGTATTGTCCGCCAAAAATTGTACACTTGAATTATTCTGCTGAAGAAAGTTCAGGCGACCGCTAAAACCGTAAATTGCAATGGATCAGAAGACCCTATTGAATAAATCGTCTGAGACGAGCGTAAAACCTCATTCAGTTAAACTGGTTCACAGGCTTTATGAAAGCCAGTTTCTACAAGATACATATAATTAGTCATAAAACCAATAAATTATTAATAAAAAATATGATTAAATATGTAAATTACGAATAAAAGGAGATAGATCCATATAATATAACGCTGGATTATCGGGCAATTGGATCAACAGAAAGGATCACAAGATGAGGACGTTAGAGGGCATAGTCATCCACGCCGTGAGCAAAAGATCAGGATGATCTAGGGAAGATCTGGATGGGCTAGATTAGATCTGGTGATCTAAGGAAACATTTAAATGATCTCGAAAATGTCAGAATGATAGGTATATAGAAGGTCTGGATGAGATAGAATGAAGATGATCGATCATCTAGATAATTAGATGATCGATGGAGCAATGACGCCCAAACATTCGTAACATGATCCGCCAAAGATCTACGACTCAAGATCGATAAAATGATCTAGTGTCGCCACCAATAGATGCAGCACATACTCTAGTTGTACCACAACTCATCCTTCGCTATTATCTAGGTGCCTAGTTGTAGGTCACCATCACTCATACTAGATGCCCTAGACGTCCTAGAGCTCGTCGTGCTTGGGTCCCGAGAACTCTTCATGTGAGATGTGGCCGTCACGATCCTTGTCTTCGTGGTGGAAGATCTCCTCAGTGATCTTGGCGGGGTCCTGACCCTTCTCCATCTCCTCGGCTGGGATCTGCTCCTGGATGTACGTCAGCACCTGAGGGGCAGCGGTAAGATAATCATGGGTCAAGATGACGACAAATATAATGCAGGCAGACAACCCGGCCGCATCTTACGAGACCACAACGCACTTTAATCTTAAACCACGACGTGTCCCATCAGGTACCTTCGCGATCTACTGTCGTACGTTCAAAAATTATCGACGACTCGTTGAAAACGCTGGTCGCCGGGCGTCTTAAGATGTCCTTAATCGATCACATCCACATCAAGACGGATCTCTGTCTCATGTCTGCCGCCAACACCTTAGCTGTTCGCAGACAAAGCTTTGGAGGATCTTGGTCTTCAGAATTATGAATGAAAGACCTCTTACTTGGTCACTGTAGGCCTACCATACCTCTTTCCTTCACTTTTCTATCTGCCCCCTTCCTGGGAAATGACACATGGAGGCTACCCACCACACCCATTTTTGCCAAGGCATCTTGCTACCCGAAATATCCCGCGAAGCCAACACGATATCTCGGCAGGAAAATATCCTCAAGTGCCACAAAAACGGCCAAGAACAGCTGTGTCCTTGCTCACCCATCTCACTCGATCGTCCCTAATGACGCATGACCAACAGCCGCACACCTCAGCTACGGTCGGCCCTACAGCATATCAAGTCCACTCAGCATCTCATTCCCTGTATTTCTTTCTCCTTAGCTTTTCGGACGCCCTTGGGGCGGGGTTTTTTTAGCCTGCCATTACTTCTTCGCCCATCTCCGCCCCTCTCTCAGAACTCCTGTCACGTCGTCCCCTTAAACGTTTCTTGCCCGAGCCTCTGAGCGCAACAAAAACACGGCAATGGGTACAACATGGGCACAATGTGGGTTAAAAGAGGGAGCAATGTGAGTACAAGGTAGGCGCAATACGGGTTCAACGCGGCGGGGAAATCAATGTAAATGTAGAAACGTAAAGATGTTAGTGGTGCATGTGAAGATGTTAGTGGTGCATGTGAAGATGTTAGTGGTGCATGTGATATCTATGTTTGTGGCACCGTGAGCTCGCGTGCCCCAGCAGGGGACAAAGGGAAAAAAATGTTGGTGCAGGACTAGTGATGATGGTGACTGCCACGCCCACAGCTGAGGAACACAATCAACTCACACCATCAGCGGGGAACACTCGTCATTATCATGAACTTGAGGGAATTATCACAAAACGGACGCGAATATCAGCGGGCAATGAAACAACAGCAGACCTTCACCGCGTTTATTGTGGCCTCTTGGACAGTACGCTTATTGGTGTACGAGCGGGACGCGTACTGAAAAGCACGTGTACAGAGAAAAGCACGTGCAGTTTGTGTGCGTACGGAGAAAAGCGCGAACGGAAAAGAGCAGGCACAGTAAGTGTGCATACAGTAAAGGATGCGTTCTGAGGAGAGCGCGAACGGAAAAGAACAGGCACAGTAAGTGTGCATACAGAAAAGGGTGCGTTCTGGGGAGAGCGCGAACGGAAAAGAGCAGGTACAAATAGTGTGCATACAGAAAAATGTGTGCGGGAAAAATCATGTACAGTGAGCTCATACAGAGAAGAGCACAGATAGTTTGTGTAGTTTGCATAATTAAGCTCAATATAAATCAATTTATTCAGTACACCCGGCAATGGCATCACTAGACAAATAACCACAATATTCAGGCCGGAGTCATAGGAATATTACTAATAACTTGCCAACAATTCATAGACAAGGGAATTAAATTCGTCACTTGAAGAAACTGGCAATATTCAGGAGATTTTGTGCTTTTATACAGAGGAAATACACTGCATTGTATGCAGAAAACACATTGCACTATTGCAAGATAGCAGTAAGATTAATATTAAGATATGATATACTATAAAGTCTTCACCTACAAAGCTAGACCAAATTTAATTAGTTATATCCCAACTAATGAGATTCACCACATTAGTTATTTACCAGCCATTTAGCTTAACCACACAAGTTATTTACGAACTATTTAGCTGTAAGACAAATCTACAAGCTTAATACTACCGAGCATTCACTGCCATCTCATTTTCAGGCCTACATCATTGAAGGTGTAGGCCTAAAAATCATTTTGTATCTGTTTCCCTAAAATATTAAATTGGTANAGAATTCCAACCTTTTTTTAAGAAAATGGAGCACAGAAAACTCAATTTTAAAATCATGATAACAGAATAGATGTTTGTACAGTTCAAAATTCAGATAAAAAATATTTCTAAATGAGAATCATGCTACATGCAAAAATAATGGAGTATAAAGTGAAGGATGCTTTGCTGCAGCAGTGCTGAGGTGCTGCTGAGCATTCAGCGGTGCAGCACTAGCAGCACTCCAGCAGCACACGCAGCAGCTGTGACAGCAGCAGTGACAGCAGCAGCGGCAGCCGCAGCAGTAGGCTAAGGCAGAGGAAAAACACTTGACAGGCAGACAGTAAGTACACCAGACAGGCAGACAGTAAGTACACCAGACAGGCAGACAGCAAGTACGGTACGTACGCTAGAAAGGCAGACAGTAAGTACACTTGACAGGCAGACAGTAAGTACACCAGACAGGCAGACAGCAAGTACGGTACGCTAGAAAGGTAGACAGTAAGTCCACTAGACAGGCAGATAAGTACACTAGACAGGTAAAAAGTAAGCACCCAAAAACATTTCAAACCAGTACCATGTATACATCAGTGATGATGCATATGGTCTTAAGTTTTGTGTTAGTAAAGCTACTAGTAATATTCCACACAAAAAACGCCCAATTGAAATTTATACAAAAACTTATTTTAAAACCAAGGTTCCAAGCAACGATTTTTTACAGTAGAAAAAATAATAGGCAAAAATAAACTAGGTAGCGCAGGGGAGAGAGCATACAATATGCATAGAGCATAGAAAGGACTGAACGCAGCAGAAAATTGGGTAGATAACCACATAAAAAAGAGGAATAGTGAACACCAGAAGAATAGTGAGAAATGAGGCTAGAAAGCAACAAATTCATAGAGTCTGGAGTCAAGCTGAAGCTGAGTCAGGCATGTGCTGAGTCAAGCTGAAGCTGAGTCAGACGTGTGCTGNCCGCGTTATAAACATTTGGCACCGCCGCGTTATCAACATTTGGCACCGCCGCGTTATCAACATTTGGCACCGCCGCGTTATCAACATTTGGCAAGAGCGCGTTAGCAACGGCAATAACCACTGTCTCACCCCAAGCGTAAGCTAAGAAAGATAAGGCGATCTTATTTGAACTTGTCAGAGGTAGGTATATTAGATAATTCTGCATTGCAGCATTAGTGATAAAATACATTCATAAAATTAAATAACTTCAAGTTTTCAGCTAAATTTTTCAAACCAAATTATTTCAGGCGTGCCTTGAAGTTCCAAATGTCTTAAATCACGATGCTTCCTCACTAGGCAACAATTGGAAGTAATCTTACTCCCTGAAATGCTAACGTGTTTAGATTCGCTTATGCAACACATTCACAGCCACGTTGCAAAAGTCACCTACAAGCGACCTCAGATGTTTTTAGCATGCCATGATTCAAACCTGCAACTCATGACTCCTAGCTTGCAGCCCGTGATAACTCTTCAGCTAATCAAAGCCCATTGCAGATTTAACTTTTATTTATTTTTCGTTATCTGTAATCTTTTACCCTCATCAAATTCCATCGAAACTTGAAGCCAAACTCTGAAGTACAAGTAATAAAGCAAGACCATTGCCCGTGCTGACCTCCTCCTTGCTGAGCTTGTTATCCTCGTCCTTGTCTATTGCCTTGAAGACGTTCACTTGGGGCGGCGCCTCCCCGATCTCCAGCAGCTCTACATCGAACAACAGCGTCGCACCTGCAACACCGGGGGGCGTTAGTGGGTGGGCAGTGGGGAGGGATGGGGGGTTCTTGTGTTGTGTTATAATTGGGGCCAAAGGGAGTGTGAGGGTGGGGAGGTGATGAGGAGTGTGAGGGTGAAGTGTTGTGAAGCAATGCTCTATATTGTGTGGAGTGTAAAAAAACAGATGGAATGGTATTAATCATAAGTGTAATGATAAAGTGCACAAAATATATCATTTTCAGTTCGATAAAGAAGAAAAAACTTCCACTTTAACAATAAATTCTAAAAGTAAGACAAGAAGAATTTTAGAGAATGCACCTGGTGGGATGATGTCACCAGCACCGCGATCACCATAAGCCTTGTCAGCAGGGATGGTGAGCTTCCTCTTGTCCCCGGGGCACATGTCAACCAGACCCTCGTCCCAGCCCCGGATCACCTGACCCACTCCAAGCTGGAACGAGAATGGGTCTCCTCGGTCCACACTGCCCACAAATAAACATCAATATTGATAAAAGACATGAAATTATAGCAGATAAAAGTTATCCCAATCCAATGACTGATCCAATGACTGAGTTTCTTATAAAAAAATTGTGAGTAGTGGAAAAAAATAACAAAAACGTGAAGTCATGGATGGACGGACGGACACACAGACAGACAGACGGACGGATGGACATGATGAGCACAATTGCGACTTTTTTCCATTAATGAGAAAATGTGCTAAATACAGTTTGTCTAAGTAGAAAATCCATCATACAAGTTATTTAAAAACATAAGAACAAAGAAATTTGTATAATGTAAGGCAGCTCAGGAAAGATCAGAGCAAAAGTGACGTCACTAACTGCATGTTGCTATTGGCAGCTAGCCAGCTAGGGATACCTGCAGCTTGACAGTTTGGCAAATAGCTTTGCTATTGATAGTTGGCAAACAGCCTTGCTATTGTTTGTTAGCAGGCTGCCTCTATTTACTGTTAATCTATCTTCCCATCAACAATGAATGCCTCCATAAGCAATCAACTAATTGATGGAACAAACATTTCCCTGCAATAAGTCATAAGCACAGTTATTTTTATAATCCTGCAGGGCCAAACATTTCAAATTACAAGTTAGGAAGTCTAGAATCAGTCATTCAGAAGGGTTCATAAGGAACTTCTAACCATTGCACCAGAGTTTGTGCATTACCAAGTTAACAAAATAAAGATGCCACACACTAAGGGTCAATCTAAAAGTGCATAGCCATTATATGCCAGAACTTTCCATCCATTGATGAGGTGTTATACTGCCAAACGGGGTAACAAGGGACAGGTGGGGTAATAAGCGAGTCCTCCAAAATTTTGTAGAAATGTTGTAGCAGCTAAACTAATCAAAATATGGCCAAACTAAAAATAGTGGAGTAAAGTTCAGCATTTTTACTATCTATGCAGCATAAAGAAATCGTACACTCATTACCTCTAAAAAATCCCTGAAAAAAGTGTGAAAAGTAAGATTTTGGAAAAGTACCTCTGCTAAGGTGTGTAGCAGAAAAAATATTTGTTGAATTGAAAAATTGTACTTACATAAAAGTTGCACACAGGAGTTGGCTTAAAAATGTGATTGACAGAATTTTCATATCTCATTCCAAGAAAAAATGGCAGCCATTTCCGCAAAACGGGGTAATAAGGGACACGCCCCCCCGGGGTAATAAGGGACACCCCTAAAATTGCATTTACAGTATAACCTTGGTTTGCAAAGGCTCCAGTTACTGAAAAAAAAATCAATTAACAACAAAGAATTTTGATTACAATTACTTTGCTCAGTGAAAAAAATTTCACTTCACTAAAAATTACTGGATCAGTCATCACAAAATTGTGCATAGAATGTCATAGATAGAATTGAGCACTGGGCAAAAAAGAATGAAAAGTAATTAACCTAAACTAGGATTTATTTCTCCAAAAACATNGTCAGAATGACCCATAAAAGGCAAGAATTGCATCGCTTTTTGGACGATGTCTCTTGAACATGAGCGAGTCTGAACCATTGTAGCGCTTTCAAAACCCTGTTTAGTTCTGAAATACCTACATCTAATACACACAAGCGCAAATCATTATATGTATATTATATACAAAATATGTAATTTGAAGTAAATAATGGCTTATTACTGGTATTGTACTTCTATTGATTTCATTATCATTTTTGGGAACGCGTTACTGTGCTTAACATCATCGTACGTCATCAAGTATCTGTCTCTTATACACATCTAGATGTGTATAAGAGACAGCAATTAACAATATTGGGATTTTCTCTGTGTTGCCTGATGTAACGTTCATGCCGAGGCCGATTTCTGACGACCTGCAAACCTGTTTCTAGTTGCCACTTGCCTGGAACGTTTTTTTTTTCAAGGCGGAACGCTTTTTTTTAAGTGAACCTCTAATCTTAGATTTCCACTCTGGTTAGTAATAGATGAGTACACTCTGCATGCTTCAAACATTTTAAAATGGAGTTTAACTCAAGTGAAGTTTAACTCATGCCTCATTTCCAGATTATTTTAGGAGCCTTTTATATTGCATCTAGCACTTTACAAATAGCATATGGACTTTTTTTAGAGATGCCATTCGATAGCCCTCGCAAATACCTGCAAAATGAGCACAAACTCGCTTATGAAATGTTTCATGGTAAGAAATTATTAACAAAAACTCTCAAAACCATCCCTTATTACCCCATTTGACAGTAGTTTTTGTAACTCAGCAATACCTGCTAGGCTATAAAGACAAATTAATTAGTCCACTTTGTTATAAGAACCAAAATGATGGCATCCCAATTGGGCGAATTGATTGGAAAGCAATGAATATCCATCAACTTTTATGAGTAATCCAAAGAATGAAAGAAATATCAAACTTCAAGTTGAAAAATTCAATTAATGAGTCAGGAATTGTATAGGCCTACCGTCAAACGGGGTAAAAAGGGACGGTTTTGAGCATTTTTTAGTAGTAGTCTATTGTTTAATTGAAAGACATTAATATAAGTTAAACACATAGTTACTTGGGTTCAACTATAACATTGATAAATAACAAAGTTGGTAAATTCTAACAGATAGCTAGTACCTAGTAGCCTAGTAAAGTATAGGAATTTCGGCCTCCAACTTATAGCTAGGCCTATCATGATTTTCTTACCTGGAGTCGAATTTCGTTCCATCCTCCAATGTGCCGGTGTAATGCATAGAAAGCATATCTCCTGATTTAGATTTAACTTCACATTCGTTTGTAACAACATTTTCAACAACTAACTCACTAGCAAATGCTAGCGAAATAAAAGTAAGGAATAAAATTGAGCGGAACATTTTCCAGAATTTCTTTTCACTCCGGCACGCTCAAATACTCCCAGCTTTCTGATGCGTTTAGGGTCAAAACAACACGTCTAACATCCAACTCACCGCCACCTGAGCAACGCAAAATGAAAGTTATTTCAAAACGTCATGAGTTGCCAAAAATAAAAAATTCTATGAATGACTAATTCAGTAATTTCAGTTCAATATCTATAAGAGGGATCATAAATTTTTTCTGTAAATTGTAGTCGGAAAAATTCGATTGTCTGCTATGTATTAGCTACAATGTATTTCTGACCGAGCTTTTCCACATTCTGACCGACGAACATTTCCACGAAAATATATATGTATGTACCGATGGAACTTGCGAGCAGAGGTGGGCAGTAGCGCGTATATATGATGGCAGTGGCAGTGGTACCTAATGTACTAACTGCCTAATGTACTACTAACTGCTGAGTCTTTTCTCAGGGTCACCACGCGCCCAAGTCCCTATTTTTGATCTATTTTATTTATTTATTATGCTATATAAATTAATTGATTGCAATTATCATACTTACAAAAATTAAATTCAATGTTAGTGATTTAAATTTTATATAGCGGTTTCAGCGTTCATTAGGCCGTAGGCCTGTCACCGATTCTTAACATTGCAGAACATTCACAGCTTGTTGCGGGCATGAACTCGCAACTCACTGCTACAATTCTACTGTGCTTAACCGCCCGGCCTCCTTGCCGATTCTGACCAGAAACTGGCGCCCAGAGCTGGGATCGAACCCGCACCTCTCTGCTCCAATCCTGGTACTCTGAACTGTAACCACTGGTTGTAACATTAGGATTTTTTAATCTGTGATTAAAATTTTGTAGACGCTTCACAATCTTGAACGTTTTCAAAATTAAATTTCTCACTATCTTTATAAAGGCAGATATCTCAATATAAATTTTCGGATCAAAATGCAGCCCTGTAGATCTCATTGACATATTCCGGTCAATTTAATTTTGCACTTATTTCGATTACAAAACAATCATCATTATGATACAGGCTAGAGAATTGGACTGAAAGCATTGACCCTTTCGGCCGGTAATTTGGCACGAGCTTTGTGACATTTTTTAGTGCACTTATACTTTATTAATATCAGAGACGGCCCCAAAAATGACCGCTGAACTGTCGAAGCGATGCTTCACATCAACTGTTTGTGTGAGCGAAAAATTTTGTTAACACAATTTGTGGTGCAGCAACTTAGAGTTAGAGCTATTAAAAAATTACTTTGCCGTGAACTAATGGTAAGAATACATTTTTAGTGAAATTTTGAGGCTCATAATATTTCAAAAATACTATATCCGATTATAATATTTTTTAATGCAGAGAGACAAATGTGTACAAGGAAAGTAAATTGGATGAACTATGATGTAAGAATGTTTGCCGCTGCTGTCGCTCGATAGAAACGGAGATCATTAATTTGTAAGAGTTTAATGTTTCAGGGTGGTAGAGATGCAAAAAAACATAGATGGAGCATCGTAAGATGCACCATCTTAAATATTATGCGGATATTATCCTGCTTATCATTCCGTGAATTATACACTTGCCAATGCAATCGTTATTTTGAAAATTGCAGGACAACGTATATATACAGGATCAAGAGGCTATTTACGACTGATGCTGACTAATGGCTGCTAAAATGGCATCGGTTACCAAAAATAGGCCTTCTTATAGCACCGTACCGCATTTGGGCAAAGTTATAAGCTATTAAGTTTGCAGCATCACGCACCAATAACTGCTTTTATAAAAGCATTGTCATTCTCAAGAAGCTGCGTGGGCACCTTAAATGGTTCGGAAATTAATTAAAAACCCTTTGAACTTCCGCCTGCAAAGGCTCAGCCTCCGCAAGGCCCCGCCTACATCGAGGCCGAGGTCAAAGTTTACGAACGCTTGCCATTGGCTCACTAGCAAAAACAGAAAATACTATAATATCTCTTGATAAATAATTACATCTATAAATCAATGCGTTGGTTTAACTTATAACTGAGTGCTTGGCTGTTTAAATGGTATAAAAAGTCTATCAATCACAACAAAACATTCGTTTATGTAACGTATTTTAATGTTATGGCAGTCGTCGGCAACGAGCGACTAGGCTTCCTCATTTCGCAGGAGGTCATAAGGCGAGCAGCGCGTATCGAGTGTGGTTGTGCTGCTCAGCTCCTCGGCATCAACAGGTGGGAAGTAGAGTGCAAGCAGATCTATGAAACAGAAGCATGAATTGCGTTAGTCTTGATTCTGTCGCGGATATTTTTTTTAACCGAAAAAACAAATGCTAAAAAAATCTGTCAAAGTTAGCAATTCTTGTCTGCGAAAATATTCTAGGCCGCCCCATACTCAAAATTTGAAATAGATTTTCGAATAAGTCTAATTTGAATGCATTTATTTATTTAACATTGGAATTAGGGCGAAGCGGAAGAATTTTTTTTGGAAATTCTATATCCGCCAACAATTTTTTATGTGGGCACCTGCCAAGTGAATTAATTTCCTTCCAATTTTCCCAATAATTTTTAGAGTTGCCGCAAAGCCATTTTAAATCGCAGAAATCGGCTATTTCAGCGTATTTTTTTACTTTCGTGTTCCCATTGTGAAGCTAACCTGGATTATTCAGGTGGTGCTACTGAATCAATTTAGATTAATCAATTGTTATTAACAACTGCAAATCTTAATAATAATTCAAAAATAAATCAGTAGCCAAAATATGGCACCAATCGATTGATGCTAAATGGTTTTAATCGCATTCAGGGTGACGGAATCCAGGATAACTGCATTCAGGGTGACGGAATTCAGGATAACTGTATTCAGGGTGACGGGATTCAGGATAACTGCATTCAGGGTGACGGGACTCAGGATAACTGCATTCAGGGTGACAGAATCCAGGATAACTGCATTCAGGGTGACGGAATCCAGGATAACTGCATTCAGGGTGACAGAATCCAGGTGAACTGCATTCAGGGTGACGGAATTCAGTACAACTGTATTCTGAGGGGAGGGGAGATTCTTATATCTCCAGGATTATTTGCTCCCATCAATAACAAGCTATTAATCAGCAAAATATCAGACATTACATTAATAATTCGTTACAAAACACACGTATACTTCTGAGAAATTTTTTATAAATCAATCATCAATCAGGCAGCCGCTGCGATTAAGATGACCGGGGCGACCTGGGGTGACCAGGGTGACCTGGGGTTGACCAGTATGACCTGGGATGACCGGAGCGACCTGGGGTGACCGGAGCGACTTGCGGCGGCCGGTGCGATCAAGATGACCGGGGCGACCTGGGGTGACCAGAGCGACTTATATTACTTATATTATCGGAGCAACCTGGGATGACCGGAGCGACCTGGGGGGACTGGGGTGACCGGGGCGACTTAGGATGACCAGAGCCACCTGGGTTGACCGAAGCAACTTGGGGTGGCTGGATATGTTATTTAGTGCATGTATATCAACTTTATATTGCTCGTACCTACCAACCAATATTTCATTTCAGAGAGTGAAGTTCGTCTTAGACTATGTCACTTATACCTATATTATAGGGCTGGTTACTAACGCGCACATGAGGGTAAATAACAGGTAATGATATTGAGAGTCAGTTATTTAGTGGACAACATTATATAGTGAGAGAATGTTACCAACATGTAGATTAAAATATGTAATGTTTGAGCACGGACAAGGAAAAATGATTGTATAGGCAAAATTCGTCAATTACTCAAAACCTGATCTGAGCTGGGTAGTTTAAACGCTAGTATGAAAATGTCATCAATCCCTCGAATGAAAATGAGTACTGAAAATGAAACCATTATTACTAAGTATTTAAAATATCAATCATAGAGGAAAAACTTCACTCATATGAAGTCATACTTCATAAAAGTGATCGTTTTCAAAGAACAAACGATGATTAGAAATATATGTAATTAAGTTGACGTTTCTTGCTTCGTGTACAATTACAACTTAAAAAAAATAAGTTCAGTAGTGAAGGCAAGTATATGTCCACATTGTAACAAGCCTTTCTTGTGAATCTGCGATCAACTTTGCAATGAAATAATACAAGAATAATTTTAATCCATGCAGAATTGTAAATATGAAATTTGGAAACATTTAAAACTAGACAGGGACCGCTCATTGCAGCCTACTACTTCGACAGAAAATATCGAGATGATTATTGTTTTTTCTCTTAAATGTTTCTTAAAATATTTTTATTCTATTTATATATTAAATATATTTATATTATTTTTATTTAAGACTTTTATTGTAAGTAAATGGAATTAAGTGTACAGTAACGGTCAGAAACTGAAACTTACAAATTAATTATCTAATTATTCATTGAAGGCTATCGTGGCAGAGATCTTTTCCAAGGAATCGTGGAAGACATCAAAGCAGCACTAGTAGAGAAACGTATAAGAGAGAAGATATCAACGCATCGATATATTTCAACGCACGGTATATATCTGCGAGTCCTGTAGTTGGTCATGATCTTTCTAGAGAGCGCTTAATTTGGTTGTTCTTCCTTGTCCGAAATTTTTCGAGTATTTTAAATGTTCACAATTGGTGGTTGGTCGTCTAGAGAGGATTGTTCTGATAGTGGAATATTTTTCTTCTTCTGAGGATATTGTTTGTTAAAGGAAGTCACTAAGGCTTCAATAATTATAAAATATCGGTCCAGGATGCTGGATACATCCCGACTCTGTGTGATTCTGATGTATTACATGTATACCTACAGCTCCATATATGTAGCTCCTAACGTGTGGTCTGCTTGTGTTGTGTGAATGATGTGTAGTTTCTATTATGTTACATGAATGGCGTGAAGTCCCTTTTGTGTTGTATGAATAGAGTGTTCCCCTTAAGACGATCGTATATCCCATTAAAGTTATCGTGTATCCCATTTAAGAGATTGTTTGTATCCCTCTTAAGGCGATCGTATGTATCCAATTAAAGAGATCGTATGTATCCCATTGAGGCGGTCGTATGTATCCCATTAAGGTTATCGTGTATCCCCTTAATAAGACGATCGTATATATGCCCATCTAGCAAATAGTTTAATGGGAGAAGGGATTGTAAACTTTTTCTGATAGTCAAAGCGCTCTCTACAAATAAGTGTATAAGGCGTGTCGCTGCTATATACAAAAAAAGGGCGCAACAATTTAAGAAATTGCGGAATGCGGACCAACATGTTTACGACGGCCGCTAATTTGGCGAAGTGCGTCCGCGTTTTAGGAGGCGTCGCGTCAGCCGTCCGGCCCAGAGGCTGGTCCGGTAATTAGATTCGCCTGATCCTAAGGAATTTTTTTTAGCTATTTACTGTTGCTATAATTATACATTGCGGCCTTCTCATCAATTATTTTTTAGCATAATCTTATCGGGGAAAATTTTGGAAAATTTTCCATGGACTTTAATGTAGAAAAGTTTATTTGGTTAATGAGATGCTGAAGACAACGACTAATTTAGTTCACTTTTCTATTATTTTATAAATGTTGCTAATCAACATAAACCGCAGCAAGATAAAAGATGGACAAGTTCGTCAATAAAAAGATATGAGGAAGAATAAAGTTCCTTGGCTTGTAAAACTGAGTCTACCGAGAATAATGATAAACATTACGAGCTAATAGAGCAGAGTTAAACCCTTACAAGAGAGCGGTGTCTTACTGGAAAAGAGTGAGGGCAGTCACTAGTTAAAAATCAGGGCATAAACTCTTCAATTTACTCCTTGACACATCCTCTTTCCACATCTACACAGCTTTACCGTGCCTCAACATCTTCTCAAGTTCACACATCTTGACCGTATACCCACACATCCTTTTCGCATGTCCACACAGCTCAGCGTGCCCCCACATTCAGTACCCACATCCATGCAAAACCTCGTACTCTCCCCGCCAACAATATAAGTTTGGACCGGCAGATCCTAGTATCCTCAGGGAAGGGATCATGATAGTCCATTCGAAGCACGGCAGTGGTGGTCTCCGACAGGCGTCCCGTATCTTGACACGGAATGTATCCTGGATACATGCGTCCTAACAGCCCCCTTATTTGTAGTGACATGCTGCTTGCAACCCAACAACTTTGACAAACATGTTAATGCTCTTAAAATTATGATGAATTTAACCGTCTACAAATATACAAAACACGTAAATATTATGATGAATTCACTGTGACGCCGGGCGCACAACATGCGAACTATCAAACTAATTTCTTAAATCTTCTATATGTTTGTCAATGTTTCATTAAAGATTACTTCTTACTAAAAGTTTCCTTATAGCTTTTCTCAATTCGGCGAATGAAGTTTTTTGGTAGCATTTTGATATTCGAATGTAAGGTGTCCATGGGACGCTCCGTCATGATTTTATGACGTCTCGAATATGCACCTGTAAATATTCGAACATTCAAAATTTCTGCATCCGCTTGTGACTTTAAAACTGAATTTCAGATCTTCCAGCAAATTTTAGCAAACAACGGGTAAGCATATTGTAGACTTCTACAAAATAAAAATGAAATTGGTTTGACCAGTACGACATGGAGCTGCTGCCACACGTAATAACTCTACCTTCAGTCCAGAGAGCCAAGGAATCTATACTTAAACCATTTCTACACAAGAGCAATGCATGCAATGTTTGGGACATACACTCAACGTTGACCTTTTTATCATCTCCTCGCTACAACGCAATTAACATGAGAAATGGTAACATTTCCACGCAACATTCCAACCACATGAAAAATACTAGCGTTTCTAGAAAACGTGTCAACCTTGGGACAGTCTTGACATTTCCAGTCTAAGTTTCCTTCAAAACTATGATCAGCAGTCCGCTCAGCGTAATATGTCTAAATTTTCGGCTAATATTTATTCTATTAGACTAAACATGTTTATATTTTTTATTAACATAATAATAAACGTATACGTTGTAAATTTTCTGCCAACATGCCCATCAGCGTATATATATGTTCAAGCTTTCGGCCAACATTACATCCAATATGAACATCTTCAGCATTTTCAGCTAAGATGCCAATGAATATTATTATGTCAAGATGCAATGGAGTTCATCGCACTCAAAATGACGGCCTAAGTAGCTGGGTAATGTCAAGTTTAGCGTCACGGCCTCGTTAAGGTCTAATTTGGCGGCTTGCTAGCGAGCTATCGAACCTCATTAGAAACATGGGCTGGCTTTTGAGCGGCCAAGGAATGAACTTCATTCCAACACTGTGAAAACCTTATGTTTGTTCACCGTTGTGGGAAGTTTGTGACTCCGGTAACACCCTGGAAACCTTACGCTTGTTGTAACACCGTGGGAACTATGTACATGATGCTACACCCCGGGAATTTTCTACCTGTTGCACAATCGTGGGAACTTTGTACCTGTTGCAACACCGTGGGAACTTTGTACCTGTTGCAACACCGTGGGAACTTTGTACCTGTTGCAACATCGTGGGAACTTTGTACCTGTTGCAACACCGTGGGAACTTTGTACCTGTTGCAACACCGTGCGAACTTTGTACCTGTTGCAACACCGAGTTAACTTAATTAATCTAACACTTCTAATGACGGTCTTGCTTATGCCGAGGAAATCATTTGCCATTACGAGAGGTCGCTGAGTGATGGGCTTAACTACGCCGCTCTCTTGGGAGGCTTAAAGCCCCGCCGCCTGAGCCTGCACCGCCGCCTTAAGCTCCACCGCCTGAGCCTGCACCGCCGCCTTAAGCCCCGCCGCCTGAGCCTGCACCGCCGCCTTAAGCCCCGCCGCCTGAGCCTGCACCGCCGCCTTAAGCCCCGCCGCCAGGCCTACGCGGCTAAGTGCACCACTCCGCGATCTCTGTATGGCGCACTCCAGTCAACTGCGACTTAATGATGCGTCATCACCTTATAAGTGCGTCATAACATTAATAGTGTGATAACACCTCATCATGCGTCATCACCTCATCATGCGCCATCACCTCATCATGCGTCATCACGCGACGCGTGATCATGCAGATCAACACAAGGCTCCTATTGTGATCTAATGGGGGGCGGGGGGGGCGGGATGCACCCCCCTAAGGACACCCGCGGATCAGCCGCTGATCCTACGCGCTGTCGCACGCATACATCAGGCCACGCGCTACGGCCATGACACGCGCAACACGCTTCCATTTAGTCTCTTCATCTATTCTATTTCGTTCAGTATTTATTAATCAGTCTTATCCATTTAGTTTCATCAACCTTCTGATTTATTTTAAATAGAGTTTCTGCTTAGTTGCCATTTCGTTCCCGTTTCATTTCCATTCAGTTACTTTTCGCTTGTTTACGTTTTGTTTTCGTACGTCTCTTCTAGCTACAGTAAAATGTGATATTTCCGGACCTTAGGTAAGTTATTTGATATTAACAGCCCGCGCGTTTTCCTACGTTGTCATTCAATAGATAATTAGGTGGGTTACAAGAGTATATAGGCAGTTAAATAATTAATTATTTTCTGAGGTCCTACAGACTCAAAAATTAAACTAATTTAATACAATAAAACCTTTCACTATTTCAGATCCTCTCGACACTATTGACGTACCTTTAAATACAGCAGGGATCTGAAATTTGAAAAAGAAATCGAACCTGAACTTGATCGTCGGTAGATCTTGCTTTAAACCCGACGATGTTCCCCGACAAGATCTTTGTCCCGACGGCACCGGTCGGCTGGACCCACAAACAACGAGGTGTCGACGATGTCCTGCGTTCAGATGACGTAAAACGTTGCACGTCATCGCACGTTCCTCGCCTTGACGTGCTTATGACGTCCACACGCCGACGTGCCTCGCGGCACGGTACGTCGGTTGGTGCCCGTCGAGCCACGAACGTCGGGCGGCGGATGATGGTGTCGGGCCTGGTGCTGCTGCTGGCGGTCTCGCCGGACCGGACTGCCGGGCTGGGGTCGGACGTGTCCGCCGTGGGGCCGCACACGTGGCAGACGCCGGGCTGCCACAGAATCGGTGGGTGTTTGTGGGCCACAATAAAAGATTATTAATCTGTTAAAGTTAAAAAGGCTTTTGAAAGGGAATAGATATAAGCTTATGCATGCGAATAATAATATAAAAATGATAGAATGATGATGCATGCTTGGATTAGGTCATTTTGGTCTGATTGTTTAAGGGGTTCGTGTTCTTTTAATTTATGTTGAGCTTTTTGAAGAAATACTTGAATTCAATCCTTAAATGAATTAAAAAAAGAGTTGTTATTAATCCAAGCATATTTCGGAGTCCTCTGAATAGTTCTTAACACAAAGCGTGCTCGAGAGACGTGCTATGGCGTGTTATGAATAAAGGCGTGTTTTCAGTTTTCCAGTCTCGAAGCATTGCTTTAATTTACTTAGAAATTATCTATTTTCTATGGTTATTGGTCATTACTGATCAATTTTCTGTTATTATTATTTGTTATGAACAATGGTTGCACTACATCCTATAGGTTGATGGCAATCACACTTCTTTTATTTGATTTTATTCTCGGGAATTGCGAGCTTTGCGGGGATCGGAAGGATTTTTTTCAATGATCTTTAATCCAGATCCGCATTATCCAGATCTCTAATCCCAAATCCCTATCCTCAAAAATCTCCAATTCTGAACATTCTTCCCCCAAGAAAAAGATGTCATTTCGGTGGAGCCTGATTCGCATCCGGCAGCCGCCGCAATAGAATTCCTTTCCAGCTTAACGACAAACCAGGAAAATTCGACCTTATGATTGATGGGAGTTTCCTACGATCGTTGATAGCTATTTTACTTTTTTCATGTGTTTCCCATTTTACAATAATAGAAGCGAACAAGGTTATATAACCGGGCTCTCACTCTTCGCAAAAATTTTCACGCATCATTAATAAGTTCCTTCGCTTCACTAACCAGGTTCCCACGCTTCACTAACCAGGTTTCCACGCTTTATTAATCAGGTTCCCACACCTCACTAACCAGGTTCCACGCTTCACTAATCAGGTTCCTACGCTTCACTAACCAGGTTCACATGCATCATTAACCAGGTTCCCGCGCTTCACTAACCAGGTTCACACGCTTCATTAATCAGATTCCCACGCTTCACTAACCATGTTCCCGCGCTTCACTAAACGGATTCACACGCTTCATTAATCAGATTCCCACGCTTCACTAACCAGGTTCACACGCTTCATTAATCAGGTTCCCACGCTTCACTAACCAGGTTCCCACGCTTCACTAACTAGGCTTACACGCTTCATTAATCAGGTTCCCACGCTTCACTAATCAGGTTCTCACGCTTCAATAATCAGGTTCCCACGCTTCACTAATCAGGTTCTCACGCTTCACTAATCAGATTCCGACACCTCACTAACCAGGTTCCCACGCTTTACTAACCAGGTTCTCACGCTTCACTAATCAGGTTCCCACACCTCACTAACCAGGTTCCCACTCCTCGTCCGCAGGTCACACGCGCCGCATCAGCGTCCCAAACTGCGTTGAGTTCGACATCACGACAAACGCGTGTCGGGGATACTGCGAGAGCTGGTCTGTGCTATCCAACGGTCTCAGCCCAGCTGGTCTCTCAGATGGATATGGTACCAAATTCTCAGGTGGCTTCACTGACAACCTGCAGCCACGGATCACGAGTGTGGGCCAGTGTTGCAACATCATGGATTCCGAGGACGTGAGTCAACACTGCATCGTTGCATTGTAGCCTCCAATTGTTTGTCGTTGTCCATTGTTGTTTGTCATTTGAGCCCCATAATGTGTAATTTTTTCTTTTTATTGTTCAATATTCGTTTCATTGTTAACGCTTCATTTATTGTTCACTGTTCATATTTTTGTTCACTATTCTTTTTATGACTAAATGTCTAATAGTTTTGTAGTTTACCCTTCTCGTGGGGCCAGAGGCAATTTGGAATGATAACTCCTGTCGTCACGTTCGGCATGACGTCATGCGATCTTCGCTGGTGCGCACTGCTAACAACTATATTTATATCCCAGGGAATACTGCATCAATAATATCCTTGTACCTGAAAAACTAACCAATCTTGGGCTTGTTTACCAGTAAAACATGTAAGCTAACATTAGAAACATATTTAAGGAAAAAATCTTTAATTCTCTTGAAATTTTTAAGACGAGCTGCCAAAGTAGAGCAAAGTATTATAAATTGTTTTCCTTAAATGAACCTCAGAATCGTTTAATTTTTTATTTCATCGTTTATTTATTATCGTTTATTTATTTGAGTTCATACATGATTTTGGCTGAAATGGAGGAGACTGTAAAATTTCCAGAAAAAGGTGAGTGCACCACTACACCTCTAACCCTCCTCCCCTCTTCCCCGCAGCTTAAGGTGAAGGTCATGTGTGTGGACGGTCCCCAGGAGTTGGTCTTCAAGTCTGCCAAATCCTGCGCCTGCTTCCACTGCAAGAAATATTAGGTTAAACTGCAGGCTACACTGCAAAATACACTGTATGATACACTGCAAACTGCATTACAGGCTGCAGTGTAGGCTGCACTGCAGACTACACGGCCGGCGACACCGCTGTCAACGCTGCTTGTTACCCAGCCTTCAACACTGTTGCCTCTGTGTCATTTACATTTTCTTGCATTATTCATTGCAACTTCAGATTATTGTACAAGGTTTTCTTGATTGACCGATATACCAGGCATTTCTCAATCAGCATCCTTGTTATAGGTATTCATGATGAAAGACTGGTTATAGTAATTAATTAATTCAAACGAGATGTGCCAGTACCCTGGACTAACAATCGCTCATGTTGCCAAACGGAGAGAAAACGGCAAAAATAGCCGCTGATGGTGACATGGTGACATTGAGGGGCGTGTTTATCTCAAATTGTTTTCACTTGGGTATCGACTACTAATGACCAATCAACTTTATTGCATTGTTCGACAATTGTCCACTGACTATATCAACAAGCTGAACCGCTAATAGGTTTAACCCGACTGAGATCAGTTTAGAAAGATCCCTTGATTTATTTATCTCAGGGGATCTCTCTGAGATAAATTAGGGGATCTCAGGGGATCTCTCTATCTTTTTTATTTATTTAGAAAGATCCCTCGATTTATACCGACTTAAAGGGAAGAGTGAGCACGGAGTTCGCAGCGTGGTACCAATCACTGCGCAAACAAGCCCCTGCGTTATAGTTCCAGGCACCGTGCATGGCCACTCTGATGCACCACCTTCAACGACTAGTCATCCGATCCCAAAAACCTCCAAGGAAAATCTCGCAGCTATTCTATTATTAAAGTTAATATAGTTAAGCCTATACGTAACACTGTGCTGCAGTGGCAAGGCAATGCAGACGTGGTGACGATATTAATTTAATTTGACAATTTAATTATGTTAAAAATCTGTACAAGATAATGATCAGTGAAAATGTGAACATGATTACTAATTTGGATAATATAACCTTGTAAACATGATCGTTATTGACATGACGATATAGTGGAGTGTATTCTTATGTTCATGACAAAAATATAATGAGTTATGGCCTTCGTATTTTGTATATCCTGTATAGTCACCAAATGCCGTTATAAATAGTAATAAGTCCTCGTAAATACAGTCCACACACTATACACAATTCGTCCAGTCCACTCAGCCCCATACACATCGAGTTCATACAACGGAACAAGTTGATATAGCGTATTCATACAATCCACACAGAGCACGCAGCGAGCGTATAGTCAGTACCAGGCTCTCATAGCGTTCACACAGGCGACTTACGAGCCCTTCAGGCCACACGGCGAGCTCACACAATCCTCATAGTCTATACAGCGGCTCATACAGCGCGAATAGTCTTCATAGCGAGCTCATACATTCCTTGCCGTCCATGTAGCGAAATTATACAGCACACAAAGTCTACTAAAATCACACAGCGATTCTATACAGACAGCAATTCCACAGAGTGAGCTGATACATTCCACACAGTCGACACAAGCCTATACGAACGAGAAGAACGACAATAACAGGAGAGAACAAGGTGGAAGAGAGAAGGTGATGGAAAGAAAAGGAGGATGGAAAGTAACGAAGGATGGAAAGTAACGAAGGATGGAAAGTAACGAAGGATGGAAAGTAACGAAGGATGGAAAGTAAAGGAGGATGGAAAGTAAAGGAGGATGGAAAGTAAAGGAGTATGGAAAGTAAAGGAGGATGGAAAGTAAAGGATGCAAAACCATTTAGATTTTATTAGAAAGAGGAAGGAAGCGGGCACAATAAACAAACTTACACGAAAACAAGCCTGGCTGGCAACAGCCAGCCCGAAAACTTAGTTGAATTTGTTTTCATGGTGGCAGGTTAGGCCTAGAATTAATAGGCCGTTTTGTGAGCGCCTCTGAATTTCTCCGTCAGCTCCAGATGAACTTCCACCGCCCACCTTTCCTCCTAAACTTCCTCAGACAAAATCTTCAAACTAAAATAATTAAAAATGAAAAAAAACCCTCATTTTTTGATAGGAAACTCGAACGTTCGAAGTATTCCGTCTGGGATTTCTTCTAGCAATTTCTAGAACAGAAAAATTCCTTTAAAATTTCAGCGTGCAGTAAGGAATTGTTTGACGAGTTAATCTCTGACAAAGAAGTATTTTTTTCATTTAAAATTCTATTTAAATATCAGCAGAGCGGAAGTAACGACACACATGCCAGGGGTTGTTAAGTTAAATTGCTTCACCGCCTGCACTAGCCGCGCTGATGTTAAGTAGCCAGTAACATGATAATCTGCTTAATTTTATTATTCTTGGTAATCTAAACAATACATTAATATACGCTAACAGAGGGCAATACTTAAAAAAATATGAACAAAAAAGATTTGCAATGAGAGATATTTTATTGAAAATAACCGGTAACAAACCGAAACCTGCAATGAATCATGAGAGTATATGTTGGCTGCGATGATGCCTCCTGTTTACTCCGGTTACCCTTAGTCACCATTCGGTAACCCTCACGCACCCTTCTGTTACACTCTTTCATCTTTCGGCTACCCTCACCCACCTTTCGGTTACCTTCACTCACCATTCGGTTACCCTAACTCATCTTTCGGTTACCCTCACTCACCTTTCGGTTACCCTCACTCGCCCTTCAGTTACACTCACTCACCTTTCGGTTACCCTCACTCACCATTCGGTTACCCTCACTCACCTTTCGGTTACCCTCACTCGCCCTTTAGTTACACTCACTCACCTTTCGGTTACTCTCACTCACCATTCGGTTACCCTCACTCACCTTTCGGTTACCCTCACTCGCCCTTTAGTTACACTCACTCACCTTTCGGTTACTCTCACTCACCATTCGGTTACCCTCACTCACCTTTCGGTTACCCTCACTCGCCCTTTAGTTACACTCACTCACCTTTCGGTTACCCTCACTCACCATTCAGTTACCCTCACTCACCATTCGGTTACCCTCCCTCACCATTCGGTTACCCTCACACATTCACCACCTGTTGACGCGGTGGAGGCAGAAGCTGGTCTCTGACTCGGGTTGCGATGGTAGATCATCATTGATCTACTAGGATCTCATTAAATCTTTACGGACCTGATCCTCATAGGTATACCCAGATCTCATTAGAACTCAACGGCCTCAACCATCCTAGATCTCCAGGACCTTGATCACCGTATAGCTAGACAGATCTCCATAGGTACATATTCGTGTCCAGATCACGACTCAGATCAAACAAAACTTGAAACATCATCCAAATTGAGCTCAAATTTTGTAGATCTAAACAAATATCTCGAGACCGCGGTAGATCTCATTAAATGTCTATGAACTACGGTAGACCTAAGTAAATATCAATTGATCGATGAATATCTCAGTAAATCTCAATTGATTGATGAAGGTCTCAGTAAATCTAAATTGATTGATGAATCTCACTCCTAATTAATCTGGTTAATCTAAACAAATAATACATTACATTACCCCTCCTCAGTAAATCTCTATATATTAGCGTAGATCTAAGTAAATCTCAGTCGATCGCCGTTGATCGCCCACATCGTACAGACGGATAAAAGCAATCCCCATACAGTGGGCATCTTAAATTGTCTTGTTCTATTTATAGATCAAACTATGGCCTAAAATGAGGTAAATCAAACAACCCGAACAAGACGTGCCATCTTTGTCCATATTTGTTAACCGGTCTTTGACGGCTGCTGTATATTTGCTGTGCCAACAGCGCTCAGTTCATCTGTCTGTTGCTGCAGCTATAAGTATATACACATGCAGCTATACAAATCTACCGGCTTTGTGAGAAATACCTGAAATTATATATGGAGCAGCTGTGGCAGATGTATTCCAGCCAGCGGGTATTGTAGCTGGCTGGAATAATTTATTAATGAACATTAATTTATGTATATGTAAGTGACAGAAAAAATTATGCAAGTGAACCATAATAAGTATTTCGGTCACATATCAACTTAGTTAATATCTGGAATGACCATCTTGAGAACTACGAGAAATTAGATAAGAAAAACATTGCATAGAATAGAAGAATTAGTAGAATAGAGTGTCGGCATTGAAGAAATAGGCCCATGGCCTGTTTCTTCTAACAATTTATAGAACAGAAAATTCCTTTAAAATTTCAGCTTGCAGTAAGGATTTGTTTGACGAGTTAATCTCTGCATCGTCTCTGTTTCATCGATTTTAGACAACAGAGACACTGCAGGTTTTCCAATTATCGCTTTTAAACGCTCATATTGAATGTCTGAGACTGAATCTTTCTGCTTTGCGGACGACTCGTTTGCCGAGCAGCAGAGCGTCGGCGTCCCGAAGTGCGGACGATTGCAGGGTCAACACGGCGTCCGTCCCGCGCCGTGACGAATCACGTCAGGAACGCACAAGAAAATTGCACTGCAAATATCCTGCGACACTCGACACTGAAAAGCCGGAAGCGTGATGCCGCACACATTGCTGTTAACAACCACGTTCAGCGTGAATTGCGTGATGTATTACATGTGGTGCGTTGGAATATGAGTTTGTTTTACGTAAGGTAAATAGAGGGAATTTATTTGCAGTGAATTCAGCGCGTTCTCGCACGTATCCAACCCTGTCTCTTATACACATCTAGATGTGTATAAGAGACAGNTGACACACCTCACATGACACCCCTCACATGGCACTCCTCACATGAAACCCTCACATGACATCCCTTACATGATACACCTCACATGACACTCCTCACATGACACCCCTTACATGATACGCCTCACATGACACTCCTCACGTGACACTCCTCACATGACACCTCTCACATGACACCCCTCATATGACATATCATTATAACATAACATAGCGATGTCAGCGCTGAAGTGTAGGCCTGATGTGGCCTGTCGCCGATTCTTTTCCTTTTCGTGCCTTGTTCACAGAAGATGTAAAATCGTGTCATTTGACCGGATCTTTTCACGACTGACGATAGTTTGAAATAGCTACTCTACTTCCACCGGGTTCGATATTCCCACGCTAGTTGGTCACTGTTATGCCTGCAGGTTACTCAGTGTTGGCAGCAGCGAGGTCATAAAACACTTGAGAGCTTGCAACATGATTTATTACAGTGTTTGTATTGACACGTGTCTGCTATACTGTATATGTTGATCTGTACCTAACAGCTATACCTGGACACGTTCTTCACACATACAGTATATAGGCGTGCTATGCGTACGGATATACCTATTACGCATTAGTTATACGCGATACGCTTATATATACCCATATTATGCACGTATATACGCATATTACGCACTTATATACACGTACCCGGCACTTATATAAACGTGTCACGCACGTATACTTACCAGGACATAGCACTTCTATACACGTATCTAGGATGTGTACTAACAACCTTGCCCAGTATCGACATGTGCTGGGTGTATCAGTGCGGTCATATAGAAGTGTCATCAGCAGGACACACGAACAACACAAAACACACTGTGTTACAAACACAATAATTGTGTACTACATTTCTTTCCGTATCCAATAATTTTCATTCGTATTATTAATTGTGTGCAATGTTATAGTGAATAATTTTAGCACAAACTATTAATACATTATAAGGATATAATACATACGCCTGAATATGTAAATATCATGTCATATTTCAAGGTTACAACATACGTGTGTCTGTGTCAGCATCGGTATTTTTTTACAGGTTCGAAATCAAATAGTTTTGTAAAGAGCTTCTCATAAAGGCCGTATGCGAGTTATTTTTATTTCAGCCGTATGCGAGTTATTTTTAAATCAGGCCCAAACACGTGTCTTAATACAAAGTTTTTAAACGTGCCTTACTGCGCATTCATTAATATATGCCTCAGTGCATTCATTAAAATATGCCTCTATGCATTCATTAAAAAGTGCCTCAATTCACATTCATTAAAATATGCCTCAACTAAATATTCAAAGAAACGTGCCCCAATGCACATTCATTAAATATCATCATTATATATTTATTAGCGAGCCCAAATGCTAAGTTTTTAAAACGTGCTTCATTGCAAATTTTCAAAACGAGCTTCATTGCAAATTTTTAAAATGTGCTTCATTCTAAGTTTTTAGAACGCCCTTCGATTGGATGTTTTAAAAAAAGTGCCTCAATGCAATGTTATTAAAATCTTTAGCAGCTGGCTTGGACGTCCACATACCTCATACTTCTATTTCACGGCAGCTAGTGTAAATAGAAAGACGAAGAACACTCCGAAGATGTATCTTGACGCAACGCTACAGAGCATAACGCAATGCAACGTTACGTTGTACCGTAACGCATAGCAATGTAACGCTACGTATAGAACAACGTATAGCGTCACGAAACGTGCGCTTGGTACGTATGTCCGCGGTAAACAGCTCGTGGAATTAGGGATTGGCCCCAGGAATTCAGGAAGACGATTGCCGACAATCTTTGATCGAGAATTTTACGTTCTACTGGATATACAGAAATGTGAGTAGGAATGGATGACAGGAATAACACATAGGAATGAAGATCAGGAATCAAACGTAGGAATGTAGATCGGGAAAGCAAATAAGTTATGAATTCCCTCACGCAGAAATGAGTTGACAAACTCGAATGAATTTCAACAGTTTGTTTGACACAGCGTAAACATGATTCCAATAAGCGAATGTTAACAAACTACTAAAATATATCGGGAAAATTTTCATCTGTGTACCGTGAGCGATTTTTCCAAGCATTGTGGGCAAATTATATTAGGTTTCTCTAGCATCTCTCCACCGTGGGCAAAACAATTGAACTGAACCGCTGTGTTGACGCCCGCCATTTGGTGTTGCCGGTTTATCAGGGTGTTGAATTCATGCAATTCGAGTTTAGATTGATCATTATTATCAGCCAATCATTTCCAGTGTCCTGGGTCGATGCACACAATGGGGAACCGCTGCCAATCTATTACCTATAATCACACGTACAGGGTTTAACGATTAATCATTTCTTTTCCTAAATCATTTCCCCAAGGAGAATAGGTTCCTTCGGTCTGGTCCTTCCCCACTCGAGAGGAAGAGTCCCCTCGATGTTCGTCCTCGCCCTGACGAAGCGATGAAATTCCCGCCATATGGGAGGAATTTCGGTCCACTTCACCCAGCTCGGGGACCAGATTTTGTTCCAGGTTCAGTTTCCGATAATTGGCGAGGAGTTGAGCAATACTCCGCATGATTGGCTCCCTTTTATCATTGCGTCGCATCCATTGCTTACGCGCCGTCAAAAGCCTGGCCGCTTCTTCGAAACTTTTCAGAGGTGACAAGTTAGGCCTTTGAACCACGGAACTTATAACCCCTCTACCTGTAGCTCCTAAAGGAATTTCTTGCCCGTTTTCAACAACAAAGAACATTTCGTCATCGTTCTGGTCGTCTTGGAAGGCCAGCGGATCCGCGGTGATTGGCAAATCGATATAACCACCAAATTTTTCAATGTCTTTCTTAGCAACAAGATTTGTTTTGGCTTCGAGAAGAGCCCTCTTGTCTTGCCCTCCCGGGGCGCTAGACAGGTTAAGGCGCTTCTTCAGTTTGCTGTTCGCTTTGATCTCATTGATTGATGAAGTCGCGTCACCATTTGTTATCGCTAAGGAGTTACCCCTGTGCAAGAGATCCGTTTCAGCAATGTTGTTTTCATAGTCATATCCTTTACTAAATTTTGTATTCCTTTTTGATTCTGAATATCCACCATCAAAAACTTTATCACCCTCCCTCTCTATGTAGCCATCGAACCCGCCATCAAATCTCGTTTGAAACTCTGAGGCTGCATCGTAGTCGCCATCTGTGAGCAGCTGGTCAGCCACCAGCAGGGACGATGTCTCCCGAGGTGCACGCCGGGCCCCTCGGAACCTGAGGCCCTCACACGAGGCCTCGGAGCTCTTGCACAAGGAGCAGGAGCACACGGAGGCCTCCGTGAACCTGTGCACCTCGGTGCCAGGGGCGACGCCAGGGTCGCAGTGGCGCAGCAGCACCTCGTTGGCCTGCGTGGCAGCGTGCAGACACACGGGGTGGTGGCTACGCTTGTACGGGAACTTCCAGTCTGCGATCTTGGGAGCACAAGAAATGACATCCTTAACAGCCGGATTAAGTGGTCGTAAAAATCTAAACAAACAGAATAAAGTGTTTGTAAAAAGAAAAGCACAATACTTCTAAAGGATTGAATTTTATTGCGCGACATGAAGATTAGTACTTGGGGCACGATATCGGGTCTCAGCAATAAGTGTTATTGAAAGAATATGGTTGTCATGATGCTGACTAATGATATAGATGGTATCATGTGAAGTCAGATTGCGCAATCTTTGAGAGTCAATACATTAAATTGCTATCATGCCGCCCCATTATGTTACCCACAATATGCGCGAGATTTATTGATTTAAAGGACAATAACTTTAAATAGTTGCAAAGAACGGTAGATTTTTTATAACTTAATAAGAATTTTGGAGAAAATAGTAAAAGGTATTTAAATTCATTGAGCGAATACCGTATATTTTTACCTTCTCCAGTAGCATGGATTTGTAGATAAATCAAGTCAACGGATATTAAGTCCAGCATTTAATTTTCTTTTGACAGTGAGGGCAGTAAATCTTAGGGCTATAACTATAAGTCGTTGAGACATCAAGTTTCATCGTATAATCTCTTGAACTAAGAAGAAATTAAGGTTTTAAAATTGATGTACTGGCTCTATTCGAGTACAATATGATTTACAACAAAAAGAAAGCCAGTCAGCATTTTGAAAATGTATATTCATTTCCACTGATTGTTTCTACTAATTCAACAAAATTGATAAATTATAAACTAATAACCAAGATGGAGTCAATGTAGAGGAAATTTCTGTGCTAAGTGGGACGAAATTAGAGGTAAGTTGATATTAACTTCACACCGAGGCTGCATCAGCCGACAGCACAATTTGTGTCGCTCACCTCATTACTGTCGCAGCGGCCCCAGCAGCTCATTATGTTGACATAATCCCAGCAAATCCGTCCATTTTCGTCCGTCTCAGTGACTTTGTAAGTGTACTGACGACGGTGACAGCTGAGCGTATTGTCAGCGTCCACTAGGGCAGCGCGCTTGTCGCTCAGCACCGGCGTGATTATTTGCAGGAAAATGATTGCCGCCACGATCAGCCGCGGCTGCCAGACGCACGAACTTGCTTCAGTCGCGCGTTGTGCCTCGCGATGGTAGTTATGTGACGCCAAATTTCTCAACAGTGTTGATTTCGTTTTAGAGTTTGATGAGCTTCGTGATTGATCTTGCTGAAGCAAGTCTCCGTCCAGTTCCGTCTGACCGGTTGCCATATTTTGCTGTGAGATATCCTGGCGAGGGTGAAAAAGGATTGATTAGTTAGACTTTTTAACAGCTCGATGAAATTCAAATCAGTGCAAATTGGACGTTGTTTTGAACTGCCGTACAAACTAGCGTCAATTGCACTTAAGTTGCCAGTGCTCCTTGCTCTTCAGCCTTCATACTCTAGAAAAATGTATGAACGGTGGCCAGAAATGCATTTTCCCATATGAGACGTAAGATTTTATATTGTTAACACAGTTACCCCTTCGTACCATATATGTCATTGGGGATTCACAAGATAATGTCATTGATGTTGGAGTGAGACGACCTCACTCCTCAATGCAGTGGCAACTGTACTGTCAAGTGTCAACGATGAGCATCATAAGCAATTAGGATTTCTACTTGCCGTGTATTCTAAATCAAACAGTGTTGTATCAGTGATCAATCAGCTCACAAAGGGAAATGGGTTACCAAGTACGTTGATTCTTGATGACGTTTTACATTAGTCGGAGACTCTGAGCTAATTTAAGGATATGCGAGAGTTAATTTGCACCTAGGATTTAGTTAGATAATTATCATTATGCGCTTGAGTTGCATTCATAAATCTTCAAAAATAATTATTTGTTACTTAATCGACAGTTCTCCGAATTCACCATCGAGCTCCCCAGTGCCCAGCAGACTCAAACGCAAAACGCAAATTTGCGTAACTCGTCCAACTATAATTATTTCAATTCTGTTCAGATCTGTTTGAAATTCAGAATATAACTAATTATTAGGAATGCGCTACGGGAGAAATTATTACAGATCTTTTTGTATGGTTTGAATTTTGAAAATAGAGCAAATGTCTGAGGCTTTGAAATATCGTCGAAAATTATTCTTCAGTTTCATCTATAAGATAATAATAGAAGGGAAACCACTGCGTTAATCGGATAGATTATCACCAAGATTAGATCGTTATTACTATTATAATTATCAAGCTAAATAATGGTGCATGAGATTAACTTCAAATCATCGTTCAACAAATAAACCCAATTCAACAACCCCCAACTCCGATTCGGAAAGGAATTAAAACAAAATTTTGATTATTACTGAGTTTTGAAATTAATTTGAATTGAGTCCTATCAACAAATAGCAGGTTAACCCGATGCTGTCGGTGAGAATTGAGAAATAATTCTGAAATTTGAGAATCCACTTAATAATTTCCGAATCCACTTAATATTTTGATTATATTACATTGATGAAAAATAAAATCCGTTCAAACATATATTTAGAAAAAAATCCAGTTTAAAGGGCCGGTCGTGAGTCGGAATGAAATCGGTGCAATTTTTAGAGCGTCCACACGTTGCAGACTTATTTGTGTAGTTTGTTCAGTTTTGCGCGATCTCACAATGGAGGAGGCAGATTTTGGTCAATTTTGGCGTTGTCCCTTGTTGAAAAAAAGATAGAATCATTTATGAAATGCAAGGAATCAAAATACCAGAGAGATGGCTTGTAGATGTCATCTTCTGCAGCTCCAGATGTAATCGATTTATTAATTTTTTCCTAATTATTTACGGGAAATACTCCCCCAAAGTATTATTTTTTTACAGCTGTTGCGCTGTTTGCACTTTCATTGATTTATTTACATTTTTCTACTAAGCTCTCATATGTCTCCACCTTTTTTCCCTGTTAATATAGGCCTTGGATTTCGCTCGCCAATTGCAAGGAAAACTTTCGTATAGACTATAGAGCAATAAATTCACGAGTACATTACCGAAGGTCCCCCATTGTCGCCAGAATCATTGAAACTGAGCACAAATTGAATTAATTGATTCGGAAAACTGTGCTACCGTCTACACGTTCCGACTTGTCTGCGCAGTTCATTGAAATCTATGCTCTGTAGCTAAGATATCGCTGCAACTGTGCAGTCTTGCCGTCGGCTTTCAAAACTGTATTTTTCCCGTCCTCACGCACGTTTTATCTACAACGATTTGAATTGTGCAGGCAAATCGTTGTGTAAAACTGAGCGTATGGACTCCTGTACACTCCTGGACTCGTATGTAAAATGTTGAGTAAACTTGATTGTAAACGTGACTTTAATTAATATACACTTACTGTGGTAAAAATCACAGTTTAATATTTATTTCTAACTCCCGCCATGTTTGATGTCTCGCGTTACCAGCGTTTCAACCAAAGTATTATTATTGCCCGGTATTATCCCGATAAGATGATTAATTAAGTATCCTGGATACACGCCACGGCCTATTGCGGCGCTAGCCGATTACAAACGCACCATTGACGATTGATAGAGAATTGGAAAAACCACGCGCTGTTGTTATCTCAGAAATAATATGCTATAATTTTTCATTTATTATACAAAAAATGAGGGCCAATAAAGTTGAAGATACTGACTGCCCTGAGAATTACAGATAGAAAATGAATAAATTAATAATAAGAGAAAACATAAATGATGAGCAAGACTGTCAGTTCACCCACCATGAGTGCGAAGATTAGGTCCTCATGCGATGCGCAATTCCTCAGCAGGTGTCGAAGATTTGCAAGTCAGTCTTTTTAATTGTTGTTTTATGTGCGATGTGAAATTTTGCACGGTGACGGAACGTGAATATAATTTTGTAAATTGCGATCAAAATAATCTTAATTGAAAAGATCAGTATTGAAATGTCTGATTCTAAGAATAATTTCCCGTAGTGAAGACGAGAATCAGTGTCGTTCAACTTGAACCGAAGAACAGAATTTTGTAAATTGCGATTAAAATAATCTTAATTGAAAAGAAGAGTATTGAAATGTCTGATTCTAAGAATAATTTATCGTCGTGAAGACGGGAATCAGTGTCGTTCAACTTGGACCGAAGAACAGCTGCGACACGTCCTTACTTCACCGCCGCCCAGGCGCGTCTGGTTCCCAGCCTGCGCCCGCCGCCACTGAACTCTTGCCCTCGGCCTACGCAACCCCCCCCCCCGTTACCTCCCCTGCCCAACCTTACCTCCTTGCGAGCAAATTCTCAGCCTGTCCCCCGTCATTTTCTTTACCATGTTTCAAGTAATAGGAAGACTTTCTAGCTGATTATTCTCAAATTTATTAGACAATTTAAGAAATATGGCTTTTCTGGGCTGTTAACCTCCAGAAGACATGCGACCAGAATAGAGATAAGTCCAAAAATATACTCCTTTCTGTACTCCTGGCATTTTTACAGGCTAAAATATTAATCCTGAAAACACAATTACCAATTTCAAAGTTCAAGGTTACCTTTAAACTGAGCAAATGTTATAACACAATTCCTACAACGTATGTTAAAATGGGAACGGCGCATGTTGTAGCAACTCGCGGAGTGAGATTACATCTCTTCATCTTATTATTATGCAAACTCTACTTGAGTGGTTCAAGTTGTCCATTTCCGTCTTTTTTTTTGTAGCTTCATCAAATTTTCAGATTGGACCTATACATTTTTGTAAAAAGTTTAGGTTTAATACACTCTACTCTATAGTTTGGTATAAAACACAGCACTTTGTTTATCAGGAGTTTCATTCATGCTTCCAAGTAAATTCAACGTTTCATTATAAATTCACACTTGAAATGATTGAAAAAACGTTCATTGTTGATTTACTTGTGTTCAGACTATTTCCAGACTCGCAGCAATAACGCTATTTTATACTTTGTAATAGAACCTCGTACCATGGCGAGACATTTTGTGGCATGTTTCTTGCACATACGCACAAGAAGTTACTTTGTAGCGGCCCGATTTTCTGCGAAATGTCGGTCGCGCTTTTATTCTGCAAACGGATTATTCGAAGTTAAAATGCAAGACAGAATCTTCAAAATTCATTCTCGATTGAGCCGCTCTCCTCAACGGGTATGACTGGACGCTGCCGCCATGAGGTGATCTGTGAAGACAAAATCTTGGATCTGCCTCCGGTGTAGCTGTTCGTTCGTTATCAACTTTCTTGACTATATTTGGTCTAGATATGCTAATCTTTGACTTTGCCATGGGTCGGAAGCATCAATCGTGTTGGGGGGCCTAGCACAGGCTCTGGTTCTACCAACGGCTCTGCCTTCCGCCTGGACGTCGGCTTCAAGGCAATGGTTTAACGTTTATTCACCCGTTAGCGTCCAACATGCCCGGAGTCTATAACTGGGTGGACGTCTTTGTTTTCAACCGTTCAAGCTGATGATGCCACGGCTTGTAATTTCAACAGTTTTGTTATGCTTAATAAGAGTAAAAAAACACGGTTAGTATGGACAATTTTCTGCTTAAGGCCCGTTTCCACTATGAGACTCTGCGAGACTCGCGCCTGAAAAACTGGCTTTTACAGTCCGGACAGAGGCAGTCCCGACCATCGAGACTGGCGCGACGGCGAGTCAAGCCCTGTTCAATCTTTGGCTAGACTTGCGTGACGGGGCAGACGGGCAAGGGGCAGTGACATTTGTGACATCTGACAGTGTCGCTGTGACTGCCGTTCCAGTAGGGTTTGTGTTCGGCTGACGCTCCAATAGACGCACCATTGCCTGCCTCTTTGCTTTTTGTTTGACCATGTCACACGACGGAGAGTGGAGCAGAGATGCAGATCAGATGCTACTGAAATGCTTATCGATTTATATAGAGAAGCAACTTGCCTATAGCAAGTAAAAAGATCAGTTTTAAATTTATATACTTGCATGCAGCATCAAATGAGTACGTTCATATAGCAGGTATGCAATTTTTTGCAATCATTGCCTTACTGGCTACCTTGAATGAAGAAATTGATGTTGGCATCAACTATCAAGGCTGTGCCTTTTTGGTACATGTTTCATTATTAATTTTATATTAGTAAGCTAATTTGACGAGGAAATTTATCTCATTTAGTGAATGCATCTTATTACAGTGATAAACTATGTTAATGAGAAGTTTGAAACCATTCTTGAGTTTCATAACTGCTATTAGGGAAATAGATCTTTGTTTCCTCCTGTCCTGGCTAAATTAAAAACGGCCACCTCATCGAGCCAGGCAGGAACAATGATAAGGAAAGTAGTATAGTCATTCCGTGTTTCCTTATTCTTCTTGTAAAACAGCGGGACAAATACCGCATATCCGAACAAATGAAAATACAAAACTGAAGATTTATACCAAGTATACCAAGTAATTAAAGGACCAATATATCAGTATCGCACAACTCCTGGCTAAAATAATTATGAACGTGGCAACAGATACAATCACTAGTAACTTACGTGGATGGCTTGTGCCCTAGTTTTTAAATTCTAAATTGTGAACGGAATGTAAGCTTACTTTACTCTGTCAAAAGAAAGAAAACGATCTTACTTCACACTGGAGAACTATAAACTAACTACTATAACATGAACAAGACAATTATAGAAAATTGACCTAAAGATTAATTCAGCGGAAGCTTAACTCCTAGGAACATCAAAACTGTAATGAATGGCAATTGGCAGGTGGCTGCGACGCCGAATACAGCTACGCGCCGCGCCGTAAGCTACAAAGTAAAAGTATATGTCGAACGCGTACTGGACGCGACACCTCCTGCGCATAGTGACAACAGCTATAGTAAAGCAAGAGCGGCAGCATAATCTATCTTCAAAGGCCAGCGAGTGCAGTAGCCCAGACGGTCAGTCTCAGTTCCAGTCCCTGCACACGTGCCTAGTGGAAACGCGCACGCCAGTTTTGAGACCCAGCCATGTGGCTTATTGGTCTCAGGCCAATCTCAATCCTTCAGAATCAATCCCGTGGTGGAAACGGGCCTTTAGGGTAATACTTCGCTATAATTAAAACTTGCACTCGTGTAATAGGGAAGAATAGGTGAAGAGAGGAATATTTAACATTTCAACATGAATGTTAGTCATGGATAAAATAGAGACTACCTCGCATCTCCGTTAATCCCCGTCGAAGTTCCCACTCAGTGGATCTAGCGAAGCGCTAGCGAATAAGCAAGAGTTTTTATCTCCAACGTGTGTCAGTCGATCTTTCGTAATTAATTGTTTGTTCAAGGTCAGATTTTAATAAAAAAGCATCAATACTAAACCATAGCATAATTTTCGCAACGCGTTATAGGGTAATAAAGGACCAATTTCTTCTAAATCGATTTGACCACAGGTTCAGCATCGCGCAATCTTCCCTCTCGACGTTTAGGATCAAACCCACATCAGCTATTGTCAGCCGAGTAGTTCCTAAAACTCCCACGTAAATTTGATAGGTATGAAATTTCGAATTGAATGCCTTCCGTCTATTTTCAAAACGTGTGCATCCTTTTAAAATAAATATGAACGTTGCAACAGATACAATCAGCTGGTCAGCTGTCGTTGCGTTAGTTGTCATGTGAGGAATGAGCGAACGGAGGGGCGCAGCCGTAGGCTATAAGTTTTACTCTTAAAAAAGCCCTGGAGCCAACACCCAGCTTCACCATGCATTGACTTTACTCAGCCTCAGAACTAGAAGCCGCAGAATACGCTTGAACTCCGTAATCCAGGCAAGCGACACACTGCCGAAAGATAATAGGCTAATAGCGCCGTAGGTCTTCAGCCACTGCTTTATGGGTTTGGCTTTAAAACCCCGAAAAACCCTTATTCTATGGTTTTCAAACCATGGGTT